GTGGCTCTTGTTCTAATTCAACGATCCCCGGGAGAGGCATTGCCTAGCTGGGGAGTGCGCTTGGCCAAAACCAGGAGTGGGAAGAAATGCATTCTGGAGTTTAGATGGCACGAGGTGATTACGCATTTAATAAAGGAGGCATGGCTTTTATTTTTCGGTTTTGTTGCATTATATCCTCCCCCCCCCCATGCTACACACAATCGTTGCCCCCGAAGTGGCAAGGTGACGAACCCAACCTTACCCTGCGGGTCCCCCTGTATGAAAACGTGATAACCCTGGTTCGATGTGCTTTTGGTTCCTCTTGTATACCTGGCACCGCACATGTCCGAACCACTTCACAAGGATGTATGCATGTCAGTGGTCACTCCCGCTACCACCAGCCAATCAGCTGCCAGAAATAAGATCCCAATGTAATGTGGCTGCCGTTGTTGCATCAAGTTTCCGAACAACGCCCAGGCTGTGGTTGAGGTTTGTTGTACGTTCTAGCTATTTATGTTTTTTTTAAGTAACACGTGATTTTCGTTTGCATTTATTTGCGTGAGTGCGTGTATGTAATTGTTCAAATGTGTAATTTTGCGTGGGAATACTGTGCCCGTGTTTCTGTGCGAGTGCATTTTCCTTCTTTGGGTGTATCTATCTCGTGCCATGGCGGTCTTAATAGGTGCTGGCACAATAACATATTTGAAATCAAGTTTGATAACATATTTTTCTTGGGAATGCTTATTTTTTTCCTGTATTTAATGGACAATGGCTTTTTGAGGTTTTGACATTTTTTTTTAGTTGACTTTTATTGTAAAACAACAATGGAATGCTCGGCACAAAGAGGGGTACTTGTTAGAAAATTATCCAGAAAATGTATGGAGACTCATTGAGGCCTGGGTAAACACAGAAGCAAGACATTCAGGCACGCAAAAGTGCGATATTTAATAGAAAAATTTATAATCATGAAGAAATGAAATAGCCTAAAGGTGAATATAACACCGCACAAGAACAGAAACATGTATATCTATCCATTGCCACCAACCTCATGTTTGAGTGTGTGAGAGTCGGTGTGTCCCTGCGATTTCCCAGTGCGCGAATTTCGGCTACTGAAAACGCCGAGGCCTGCATAGCTCTGAGGCGACGCATGAGAGCTACGCTTCCATCCCACCCCTGCACCAGCGCATACGAATTGACACCAACGATGCATAGTGTTCACTAATTAAGGGTGAGCCTTGCACTCACAACGCACACATCCAGGTTGTGACTTTGAAAATCAATCACTTGAGATTCGTGCAAATTGTATGCACATGATATTTAAACACAACATAAAAAAAATTATTACTTTACCAGGTAAGGCCCCACTGAGATTATGCAGGTTTTTTTCAGAAGCGACCTGGCCAGGGGCAGTTTCTTCATTAGGGCGATTGGGCGACGCACCACCAATATCATTCAACCACAGAGTCACGCTAGCCGTCACTGTGCCTCTGGATATAGTCCAATCAGCGTCATGTCACGTTCTGTGGAGTACCGCCTCTTTTTGGGCGATTTCACTCCGGCTGAGAATCGCCCCGAGTGGCCCCATAGACTTATATTCAAAGATCTTTTTTTTCGACCGGGGGGCGCTGCAATGCATTCTCTATGGCTTCCGGGAGGGCTCGCACTAACGTGCTTACGTCATCATACGTAAGTACGTTTCATCCAACAATATAATTTGTCGCCACCTAGTGGAATCTTTAATAAAATAAACTTGAGTGGATTGTATTAATAGTGAATATAGAAACAAACAAGATGTATTGTAAGAGTCACTTTATTTTTCATTAATATTAAAGAAGTGAAGTTGCCTTTACATGCTTAAGCTGTTAATTTATCCATTGCATGGGTGGACCTTATCCTTATCAATCATCCAGACATTTGCCCCCCCTGAGAGATTTTGCAGGAGCCGCCACTGGACCTGGCCACAAATGATAGCTCATAAAAATGGCTTATCATGTGGAAATATAGCAACCAAATGTTTCTAAATGTGGTGAGAAAACCCGGAGAACCTGGCGAAAAAGCCATACCACCATGGGGAGAACATGCAAGCTCCAAATATACAGCAGGCATCAGGGTCGGGATCGAACTTATGACCTCCTGTATATCAGGCAAGGTAGTAAACATCTCGCCTCTGTGGCTAATTTGACAAACAGTGTAGGCTAATGTAACAAAGCAAAATAGTGTAGAGACGACTTCAACGCATTTGTCCTGGGAAGGTTTTCTTTATTAAGGAGCCACGTGCTCACACTGGGACAGGCGGAGACCCGCACTGCAACAGCCCCGAGTCTCCGAAGCATCTCCCTTTTATACGGTCCGAGGCCACGCCCCCTTTCCAGCACCTTCTCGCTGCTTCTAGACCGCTCGCTCTAACAGCAGACTCCACTGTCCTCTTCCATCCCCTAGCCACGCTCCTATTCTCGATCATTCCCGTAGCCAACAGTCAATTCGTACTGCAGGCTGACTCCCCTGTCATTACTTCCCGTGGCCACTAGTCCATTCGCACTGTAGGCTGACTCCCCTGTCATTACCTCCCGTGGCCACCAACCCATTCGCACTGCAGGCTGACTCCCCTGTCATTACATCCCATGGCCACTAGTCCACTCGCACTGCAGGCTGACTCCCCTGTCATTACCTCCCATGGCCACTAGTCCATTCGTACTGCAGTCTGACTCTCCTGCATTACCTCCTGTGGCCACTAACCCATTCGCACTGCAGGCTGACTCCCCTGTCATTACCTCCCTTGGCCACTAGTCCATTTACACCGTAGGTTGACTCTACTGTCATTAGAAAAGTACAAACAAGGTTGAACAAAGAAGAAATGCAAACGAAACAAAAAGTAATCAATTGTTGAATCGAATTTTGACCCCGAGTCGTGAAAATTTATAAAATCGCCGAGAGAAGGACGACCCATGATATGTCTGCTGGCTTTTGAAAGGCTTCAAAAGACCAAGTGGATCCGACCGCAACGCCTCACTCACTTGATACGGTTTCATTTCCTTAGGGGCGCCCTTACACGGTGACTTGATGTCAATCAGGCCCAAGTGCCCTCACTAGTGTGTGCCATGATATCATTTTCTATCATACAATACGAGATCAAATCTTACGTGACAGTTATCGCGATATCAATTTGCCGTAACTTTGTCATTGTATTCGGATGTTTAGTTTATTGTTTTTGCTCTTCGCTGCTACAATCATTACAACCGTATAATCTATATTGCTTATAACGCACAGTACACTACTAATAATTATGTATGTTGAACTTCTTTCGCACCGTACGTAGCCAACCGCTCTAATCGAAGGTGCAGGGGAAGGACAAGAAAGTAAACATAACAACAAGCAGTTCTAAAGAAATTAGTTTTCAATTTAGTATAGTGGTGTAGTGTATAATAGTGTATTGTAGTATAGTTTATTTAGTAATAATAGTGTAGTGTGTCGTAGTGTAGTGTATAGTAGTGTGGTGTGTATTGTAGTCTATCGTGTACTATGTAGTGTAGTGTATATTGTAGTGTATAGTGCAGGGGTCGGCAACCTATGGCTCCGGAGCCGCATGCGGCTCTTTACGGGCTGCTTCTTGACGATATGTACCTGAGTACAGTATGTACTCAGATGCATTGCGGCTCTTGAAATACTGAATTTTGTACCGAATTGGAAAGAAATGGCTCTTCTTGTTATTTTGGTTGCCGACCCCTGGTATAGTGTCATGTATGTTAAACGTCTTTCACACCGCACGTAGCCAACCGCGCTAATCGGAGGTGCAGGAGAAGGACAACAAACTAAACACAAAGAGCAGTTCTAAAGAAGTTAGTTTTTCATCTGGATGATTTAAAAGTGCGTAGCTCCCAGTGACTTCCTAATATCGAAAGGAAGAGTGCTCCAGACGGCTATGAAATGATTACATCGCATAACTGCCAAGCCACCAATTACTCAGAAAAACATTTTTGTAAGGCACGTGATTGAATGGGTAATAGCCATGTAATGATATTGTACAAAACGGATGACGTGATTATCTGTTATCTCTATATTTTGTGATATATTGTAAAGGCTCCATATCGTGGTAACTGTAGTACACTGTCCGTTTAGGTTTTCATTGCCAGTGTGATTTAATAATCGATTTTGGGTAATGATCTAAAACTATGTGTCATTAAGAGCCTCCATCTAGCCAAGCAAATTAAATGGTCACGTTTCAAACGTTTAACAACGCGGCAAATATAATTGTTTCAGCACACTTACTGGAAGAGTTAAAGAACAATCCTAGCAACCGAATTTAGCAGGAATGATACGAAAAATTCGCTTCAAATAAAACATCAACCATCTAAAGGACATCCAGGAAGTCCCAATCAAATCCTGGAAGTCAGAATCAAGTTGAAATTACTTCCTGAATGACTACTAAGAAGCTAGAATGACTTCCCGGATTTACTTCTCACCTGGAATTTTGACATCGTATCGAACAAAATGGCCCTCATCCAATTGCCTGATTTGATTGTGAGAACTGGTCTTAAAACTATCAAGTAAGATGCAACAACAATCGGTGCATTGAACGCTTGTGGAAGTGACAATTTAGTTTTCGGCTACGACGGGTTTGCAAAAGGGCCTTTTATAATGCAAGTCTTGCCATTATTTATTGCGTAGCCTAACCCAACAAAATGAAATTCACTAATAGGGTTTTTCCCCTTTTTTGGCAACAAAACGGACACCTTTTGCAAGGAATCATGTTTACATTAACCACAATACTTGCAGTCAAATGCCAACAAAAAACAATACTCTGATAATTTATGCATTGTCCTTGAAACTGATTGGTCCGCACCAGAGACAGCCAAAAGGCATCATCTGGTCGAACACCATATGAGACTAAGCTCTAAAGAAAGCTGTCTCTGGTGTGGACCAATCAGTTTCAAAGACAATGCATAAATTATCAGAGTATTGTTTTTTGTTTGCATTTGACTGCAAGATTTGTTGTTAATGTAAACATGATTCCTTGCAAAAGGTGTCAGTTTTGTTGCCAAAAAAAAAAGGGGAAAACCCCTATTAGTATATTTTGGTACTGGCAAAGGAGGTCCCATGATGTAAAAAATGAAATTCGTCAGCGGTAGAAGATGAGTACGGATGCCTCCAACAACTGTTTGGAGCAGCTCCAGCTGATCTGCGTCCCGTAGCCGTCCCAGTCGAAGGCGGAGAAGTCGCCGCACTGTCTCGGAGACTGCTCGGGAACGTATCCCGCGCCGCCGATGCAGTACTGCAGAGAGACAAGCACGGGTTAGAGTTCTCGGCTGCAGCAAAGTCACACATCGAAATGGCTGAGAAATTGGGGAAGAGCGGAGTCTGAGATCGGCGTTTGTGTACGGTGAACCTCTCGGTTATACGGTTAACCACTCGGTTATCCGTGAGCAGTTTTTCTGGGTTGTACCATGTTTGACAAATGTGTAAGAACCATGTATGCAGATACCGGTTCGGTTATTAGCTGCGCTTCACTCGTTGAGGGTCGGTGACTCAGCGTCTACGTTTCTTTAAGTAAATGTAAACCGTTAATTTCGTGTGTGAAGTGTTTTTAATGGAGGCAGTTGTAACTATTTATTTGCCATCCACTGCAGCAAGCCTGCCTTTTGTTGTCACTCGTTAAATGTCAAATGACGTGTGTGCTACCCAAAATATTCAGAATTTTAGGACACATGCATAAAATTTGGTAACAAAAAAAAAGTTATCTGCCTTCTTTTTTCATATGGCATTTTTGGGGGGATTGCAACAGATTACAAATTTGATGTTGAGATTTGACATCCATTCGACTGCTTTCAGGAATATCCACCTGGATTTGTTTCAGATCACTGTTGAATGATCCGATTGGACAATTGTTCACGACACGTTGCACGGTCTGAGGTATCCAGTTGTCTGTGATCATAGAGATATATATACATTTTTGCGTTCCCTTAACAGTTTTTCGTGAGTGGCCATCCTCATCACCCACTCCTAAGGCTTCGCCTAAGTAGACTTGATTATCCGCGTGCGGTTTATCCAATTTGTGGATTAACCGTGCACCTGACATTTTGACGTAAATTAATAACTCATGGATTCTCCCTTAAGCACGAATTAATCATCTAAAAACAGGCCCACAGTGTTATTCTTGGAAATGTTTTTTACAACCCACGTGCTTAAACCGAACAAATATGTGCTCCGGTTAGTCCGAAATCTACGTGATCGCCTCTACAGTACAGTAGTTGCATATCTTTACAACAGTGGGCGGAGTTTGATTGATGTTGATTGGCGTAGCTCTGCTATCCACTTAGTGAGCTGAGTCTTCTTGCGATCGTTAGTATTCATTATAAGTTGAAAGAGTAACAGTAGAAATCGTCAGTTGTGCTTAATTTTGAGTGCTTTATCCGATCATGTATTTGTGAGTGTTAATTTGTGAAACTGTGCGTGTGTTTGTGTATGGACTTTTGTAATTAAACAGGTGAAGGAGAGAATGTATTGCTCATTTTTTGGTTCATTAGCATACCAAATTTCATAATTTATACATATACTCGTGTTTTTTTTGCAAAGAGATCCTCGTTAAATAGTTCTTTTTTGGATAATCTGCGGCCATCCTTGCCGTCGTTAGCGTGGATAATTAATCGAGTCTCCTGTATGTGCAATTGCTATACAGCAGAGGTGGTGGAGACCCTTTAATTTACTGAGGACAGAATAGGACTTTCCAACTCCTCAGTTGATCCAACCGCACATTAACACGCAACTTAGTGTTATCCAATAACAATGCAAACAAAACAACTGAAATAGGGCTCGCGTTCACAGACGGACTGAGTGAGCGCTGGCAAAACTCACAGAACGCAAAGTGCTGCCAGTTGGGGCATTTGCAAGACGTTACCAACGACAAAACCAAAGAGTACGTTACCAATGATGGATGCGTGCCTTTCACAGGCCTATTTTTGAGGTGTTTATGGCCCTATGAAATGAGGTGACGGGGGGGGTTGGGGGGTGGGTTTGTTCCCCCGGGCTCTGCTTTACCGTATGGGGCGAGTGTAACATGACATCACTCTGAACACCGTGTGTCGGATGGTGCAAATGCTCCTCTCACATGCTCGGTGTTGCACTTGAGAGCCATGACCCCGGAGCAGAGGGCGAATGGGGCTTTCTCCGTGTTGAACACTCGGAACTGCACAAACCCTGGCCGTGTTTCACCTGTAGTGGGGGGGGGGGGGTGAATCGTTGTTAGTCTCGGTCGATCTACTGCTGGATGAAGGAGTCCTCAGTCACCCGCCCATATTTCTACGACGCAATAATCCACCTCGAACCTGATTTCATTGTTCTACAGTCGAACCCCCTCTTAACCACGGTACTTGGTTCCACGAAAGCGGTCGCTAAGCGATTTGGTAATTAAACGAGTATAGGAGATGCACGTTAAAGGCTTAATTCTTTCAGATCGCATCGAAAGTTATAATTTTTCACCGAAATTTTTTTTCTTTTAGCTATTTAAAGATACCAACAACATTATAAACACATAGTATTAACATTAACACGGTTAATCAATGCATTAATTCATATTTACTGTACCTACAACAGCCTGTCGTTAACAGGGGAATGGTCGGTAAGTAAACACATTGGGCTCTATGGAGGCACTACACATTACACTTCTATATACACTACACTACTATACACTACACATTGGGCTGTATGGAGGCCTGTCGTTAAGTGATTAGTCGTTAACAGGGGTGGTTGTTAAAAAGGGTATTTCCTCATTGGATCACCCCTCGTTCATCCCAAGACCCCCTAATCTCTCCCCATTCTAACCACAACCATTACTGTTCTTCCTTCACATTCTCTCTCCACGGCGACCACTCATTCTCCGTCCATCCAATGCGTCCATCGTCATTTGCTCTCGTATAAAACAAGGTTTTACTGAATTCACGCGTCACCGGTCCGCCCATCACTTCCTCTCGTCTTATTGTAATCACCTAGTCTTCACCATTACGTTCATACATAACGTTGTTAATACTCAAGGCGCTAAAAAAATACGACGAGACGAGATGCTCCATTCCTCGGCTATTACTCAGTCTTCATTCGTGACCATCGCTCCGCCGAACTAAAGAGTTCCGCGATTCGGTTTATAAGTACGAACGATCGTTCACAAGTCGTATGATTAAAAATAATAACAGTCTATCTTCTTGGTTCTTTAGGCAAAGTCACGTAGAATGGAAATAATAAAATAATAAAATAAAACATAATAAAACTTCTTTTATTTTATTATGTTTTATGTTATTTTATTATTTTATTAGTTCCATTCTACGTGACTTTGCCGAAAGAACCAAGAAGATGAACCCCTGCAGTCACGAAAGCTTTCAATCGAAAAATAACAGTCTAATTGCGGTTCGTTCATAAGTATGGATATTCGTAAGCCAGACTTTCGTATCTCGGGGACTGCCTATGTTCACACTAGCAGCATGGAAAACGGAGGCTTGCTGTAGACCTGCTAAGCGTGATATACTGTACATATTGTTGTGTTTTACAGACATTACAAATAAATGTGGTGCCATCAATGTGAAGTCCCTCCTGTCTTCATTTCGAACGTGCAACATGTTTTGTGCGTGAACCCAATTTTGACGAGTTAAACGCTCGGTAATAGTCACTCACCTATACAGTTAGGGCAGATGAGTGAGTTGACAACATTGTTGCTTCCAAAATCGTAAACTATTGGGTAAAAAGGTCCATTATTGATTTGACAGGTGCCTGAACCAAACGTCAATGGGTAGAAATTCTGAAATATAAACAGTGCAAACAATTAGATTTTAACAAGGGCGAGACTACTGTCCCTGCAGATTTGTGTGAAAAATAGATTTTTGGTATAACAAACCTTAAACCCTCACCCCAACCTTAACTCTAAGGCTTATCCCCTAACCCGTAAACCTAAACCCAACCCCTATCCATTTCCCTGAATGTTACCTGTAAGCATGAATCTCTTACTTTATGCACGAGTTAAAATGTATTGTAGAGACATTGGCGCATTTGACCATGTTTTTTTAACAACAACAACAACAAAGATCAAATTTACGTAACTGTTCAGCTATTACAGCATTTAGAAGCGTTTTAAAACGTGCTATTAATCACTAGTTACAAAGCAACACTAAATAATTTAACGGTGGGCAATACATGGATTGCGTTCCGTCCGCGAATCGCGAAGATACTTTTTTGTGAATCTCGGGGAAAAACAAAATTAGATCTTGATCATGAGGTCACAGTGGCATCGAGAGTGCTGCTGGGTCGTGATTGGCTGAGGGCAGGTGGGTGACTGGGTGGTACTTTAGGCCCCCTTCCTCCAGACACACGTACGCGGACACGTGACTTGCAGGTGAGCGTGTGTGTGTGTATTGGCACTGTGTGTTGGTAGATATGGGGAGCGGTAGTGTAGTGGTTATCGCACTGCGCTACGGAACCCGGTGACCCGAGTTCCCGCTCACGGCTGACACCAGTGGCGATTTTCTGAACCAGTCCTGGGCCTTGCCAAGGTCAACTCAGCCTCAAATGAGTACCTGGTGATGTGTGTAAACATCGCCACTTGGAAGAGAAAGGCGGCCGGGCCTGGTGCTGGCCACCCACCCATGTGTGTGCTGTTCCGGCCTTCATAGGTGCTTGCTAACAGCACTTGCCCCAACAGTATGTTAAGGATATACAGGGGATCTTTGTCTTTGTGTACACACGGAGCTCAGATACATGCTGCACATGTAACCCCCCCTGCCCCCTCGCCCTAAATCCACAACTGCCCAAAACATCATGGGCAATCGCACACGAGCGCATGGGGCCATGTATGTGTAATGACTAGTGGCCACGGGAGGTAATGACAGAGGAGTCAGTTGTGAGTGTGAAGGGACTGGTGGCCACGGGAGATAATGACAGGGGAGTCAGCAGACAGTGTGAATGCACTAGTGGTCACGCGAAGTCATGACAGGGGTGTCCGCTGTGAGTGCGAAGGGACTGGTGGCTACGGGAATGATCGAGAAGGGAGCGGGGTCAAGTGACGGAAGAGGACGGTGGAGTCTGCTGGTGAAGCGAGCGTCCAGAGTCAGCGAGAATGGTCGAGAAGGGGGGCGTGGCCTCGGTCCGTATATAACGGAGATGCGCGGGAGACTCGGGGATGTTGCAGTGGGGGTCTCCGCCTGTGTCAAGTGAACGTGACTTCACTAAAGTGCCATCTCAAGAAAAGTGTGTCAAGTTGTCATGGTATATGTATGTATGTTGAACTTCTTTCACACCGTACATACCTTGTATAAGGAGTAAAGGTTCCCCCCGAGGGGTTCCAGAAAGCCGACTTCCGTGTGGTAGCGCAGGATCGCCGACTGCTTCCACTGGGGCAAAGGTGTCCCATTTGGGACGTGCCATATCGCGATATCGTCCGCGTCAAGGTCATAGTATCCCTCGTTCTGAATGCACACATGTGCGCGCGACACAAAAACGGCATTAGACGGATAAAACTAAAACATTTGGGAGGCTTAATCTGCATACAGGGGCGCCTCTACTTAAGAACATTCAACTTTCAGAATTACAAACAAACCTGTCCAGTTGTCTGTTCGGATGGAGAGTCGTTCAACCACTGAGCATTAGATGGCGATGGTGGCATCTACATCTGCAGAATGCGAAGAACCAGTGGAATCTACATCTACAGGAGATTATTAAACTTTTGAAGCCATTCTCCGCGTTTGGTGTACATGCCGTTCAACGTGTTTGGAATCGACGGGGCTAAAGTTGGACTTACGAACAAATCGACTTACAAACAGACCTCTGGAACCTAACTCGTTCGTAAGTAGAGGAGTCCCTGTACATTGTGAGCTGCCAGCCATTCTCTCTTTAAGCCCCGCCCACTTTCACATAACCACACCCACTCCCCCCACTAGCCCCTCCCCCACAGTGAGTAGCTCTGCCACTGACCGCCCTGCCCCACCTGCTGTTCAGATAGCCACTTTCATGGCTCCGCCCATTACTGAGATAGCCACGCCTAGCAGCCAGCGTTTCCCCCACCCCTCTTTGCGTATGCTGTCGACCATGTGGTTAGAACAAAAAAATCAACTGAGAAAAAAGTTCAACTGGGACAAAATTATTTTGGGTTTCTTTTTCTTTGCAAACGCTTCAGTACACTAGGACACACCGTCCGATTATCAGATCGTCCAGGGAAAAAATAATACAACGATGTTATCATTGTTGTGTTTTTCTAATGCGCCTGGACCCATCCGAGTGGCAGCTGAGCCTGTCATCAAAACTACAATCTCAAGGAGAAAATCTAAAACAAATATCGGTGACAAATACACCAACTTAAAAAATTCCGCTCCACCACGATCGTTTTAAATGGACAATATCATAAATTCTTTATTCCCGTGGTAGTTGCCAGTCACTCTATGTCACAACCACTGTTACCCTTCCATACTGCGGTATTCATTGTATTGACCCCGAGTAGGACAAAGGGCATGTGGACACTCAACGAGGATTTGAACTTGTGTGTTCTGTGCTGTTAATTGTAAATTAATCATTGTGCAGCATCAATAGGGTGTCGTTGTAATTAAACATAGAGGGTCTGTGGCAACATTATTTGTGTATTAAAGTCACTCAGTCCATTTGAGTCAGTAATTCCTGGGGTTGGTCAGAGACACTGACATTGGGTTAACAACTCGGTGGTTATAGGAGGCCTCAGGCATACTTTCATGTGATACAGCACACAGATATATCTACTTTGAATGTGGGTGCTGTAACACTGGATCTGTGGCACAATTTTCAGATTTCAATTTAAAGCTTTCGTGACTGCAGGGATTCATCTTCTTGGTTCTTTCGGTAAAGTCACGTAGAAGGGAAGTAATAAAATAATAAAAATAAAACATAATAAAATAAAATAATTCTCACGACGTTTCGGCTACAACGCAAACAGCCGTCTTCAGGTGAAGAATGAGACACTACCAAACTAGGAGCTTATATATAAGCTGCGTTGGAGGTGGAAGAGCGCCTTAACAAAAAGAATGTGCATATGAAGAGGAATTTAGCATATTCATGGAAATGCGTAGGCGTTGGGGGGGGGGGGTTTCAAAGTCATATTATGCCCATGCATAATGCAGGATTAGCAGCACCAAGGGGGGGTGCAGGGATTAGCAGTAACAAAGGAAAGGAATGTTAATGATATGTAGCTGCAGTTACTCAACAACCACGTAGAAAACTAAAGTATAAACTACATAAAAAACTAAAGTATAAACTGCTTAGCACCATCAGTATACTTACTATACTCTACAATAAGCTGAGTTACTAACAGCAAGTAATACATTACAATTCTACGTCGTAAAAATTCTGTAATATGCTTCCATCTAAACTTTATTCTCTTCCATCACACGAGCATATACCGTACTATATACTGCCATAGATAAACCCAACATTAAATTATATACTGTATTGCTGTAAACCAACCTATACCTTATACATTTTAAGATAATACTATGTATTATTCTACACACCCTAATGTGTATCGAAATGGTTTATTACGTCCTTCCAATGATTGCTAAGCCAGAATCCATCTTCTCGGTTAAAATTGTCTCTGTGTTTGTATATGTGGATCGCCTCATGAACGAATCTCTCATGATAGCCAGATGGCTTGCAGAGAACCTCTGTCTTGGAGAAGTCAATATCATGTGAGCCCACTGAGTTGTAACAGTGATCTGCCACGGCTGAGGTGTTTGTCCTACCGTGTTTCAGGTCAGCTTTATGTTCACGGATGCGGTCCGAGACATGTCGTTTGGTTTCCCCAATGTAACTGCTACCACAGAGGAAACTTAGTTTGTAGACGCCAGGGTACTGTATGTCTGGAACCACATATTTTACAGACGGTACCAGATCACGGATTTTATGTACTGTGTTGAATCGGACCTGGATCTTGTGTTTAATCAGGATTTTGGAGATATTTTTTGTGACCCCAGCAATGTAGGGTAAGGTGATGGTCTTGAAAGGCTCCTCAACAGGATCCTTCTTGATGGTTGGAGTGATGGCTTTGCGGATTGTGTAGTCGGAGTAACCATTAGCCTTAAGAGCTTGGCGTACGTGTTTGAGTTCACTGGCAATGTGTTCATGGTCGGAGATGCATTGGGCTCTATGATATAGAGTCTTGATGAGGGAATTCTTCTGGGATGGATGGTGGTGGGAATCCGGTTTTAGATAAGCATCCGTATGGGTGGCTTTCCTGTAGACAGAGTGGCTCATTGAACCATCAGGTCTCCTTTTGATTAGGACATCCAAAAAGGGTAGCTTGCCATCTTTTTCGACTTCCATGGTGAATCTGATGGCTGGGTGTATGGAGTTGATGTGGTCGAGAAATTGGTCTAGAGCAGCACGGCCATGTGGCCAGATGACAAAAGTGTCGTCTACGTACCTCTTCCATAAGGTCGGGCGTAGAGTGGCAGTCTGGATGGCGTCCGTCTCAAATTTCTCCATGAAGATGTTGGCTACAACCGGAGATAGGGGGGAGCCCATTGGGGTGCCCTCAGTTTGCTTGTAGAAAGTTTCATTCCAGGTGAAGTATGTATTGGTTAAGCAGTGTCTCACCAGGGGGGGGGGGTACCCCAGCATTCAGTCCATGATGAACCAAGTCTTCAATGATTGCGATGGTGTCAGGTACAGGAACCTTGGTGAATAAGGAAACCACTTCAAAACTGACAAGCAGGTCGTCTGGGGACAGGGCAATCCCCTTGATTGTCGATACCAGGTCAGTAGAGTTTAGTACCGCAGAGGTGGTTTTTCCAGTGAAAGGCCGTAGGATTTCAGACAAAAAACGAGCCAATTTATAGGTGGGGGAGTTGATAGTAGAGACAATGGGACGAAGAGGTGTATCTTCTTTATGTATCTTTGGCAAGCCGTATAATCTTGGTGGCCTGGCTGCAGAAGGTTTCAACGAGAACTGTTTGGTCTGATCAAATAATGCGGTTGAATCAGAAATGATTTTGTTGGTTTTAGTGACGAGGCTGTTGGTGGGGTCTCTTTTTATTTTTGTATAGCTGCCATCGTTGAGTAGTTCTTGAATTTTGTTGTTATATTCTATTTGGTCCATGATGACAGTGGCATTGCCTTTGTCGGCTGGGAGGATGACAATGTCATCCCTCTTTTTTAATTGAGCTAATTCAAAACGCTCATCTTTGCTGATGTTGCTAGCTGGCATCTTAGCGTTTTTGAGGGTTGCAGAGATTTCAGATCTTGCTACGTCTGCAGCGATGTGACTCAAGCCCTTGAGAGCTACATCTACTCGAGCAATTATATCATTAACTGGTATGTGTCTAGGTGTGACTGCAAAGTTTAGTCCTTTAGCTAAAACGGATTTCAGACCTTCAGAAATAGAACTGTTACTGCGATTAATTACGACTTTGTTAACATCTAGCTTTTCAATGTGTGGGTCCGGTTTCTTGTTTGAGAGGCGGTTGAATTTGGAAATCAAGTTGTCCTTACATTTAGTCGACATAGCGGCAGCTGAAGAGGCAGTCATTTTTTCTACATGTTCCCAATCAGATGTGGACATTGTTGCACTCAAAGATAAGTGTGATTTGTAGAGTGTCTTGTCTAACTGATCTAGTTCGGTGCGCGTAAGTATGATTTTCTCTGAGATGAGAGCTAAGCATCAGCAAAGATGAGCGTTTTGAATTAGCTCAATTAAAAAAGAGGGATGACATTGTCATCCTCCCAGCCGACAAAGGCAATGCCACTGTCATCATGGACAAAATAGAATACAACAACAAAATTCAAGAACTACTCAACGATGGCAGCTATACAAAAATAAAAAGAGACCCCACCAACAGCCTCGTCACTAAAACCAACAAAATCATTTCTGATTCAACCGCATTATTTGATCAGACCAAACAGTTCTCGTTGAAACCTTCTGCAGCCAGGCCACCAAGATTATACGGCTTGCCAAAGATACATAAAGAAGATACACCTCTTCGTCCCATTGTCTCTACTATCAACTCCCCCACCTATAAATTGGCTCGTTTTTTGTCTGAAATCCTACGGCCTTTCACTGGAAAAACCACCTCTGCGGTACTAAACTCTACTGACCTGGTATCGACAATCAAGGGGATTGCCCTGTCCCCAGACGACCTGCTTGTCAGTTTTGAAGTGGTTTCCTTATTCACCAAGGTTCCTGTACCTGACACCATCGCAATCATTGAAGACTTGGTTCATCATGGACTGAATGCTGGGGTACCCCCCCCTGGTGAGACACTGCTTAACCAATACATACTTCACCTGGAATGAAACTTTCTACAAGCAAACTGAGGGCACCCCAATGGGCTCCCCCCTATCTCCGGTTGTAGCCAACATCTTCATGGAGAAATTTGAGACGGACGCCATCCAGACTGCCACTCTACGCCCGACCTTATGGAAGAGGTACGTAGACGACACTTTTGTCATCTGGCCACATGGCCGTGCTGCTCTAGACCAATTTCTCGACCACATCAACTCCATACACCCAGCCATCAGATTCACCATGGAAGTCGAAAAAGATGGCAAGCTACCCTTTTTGGATGTCCTAATCAAAAGGAGACCTGATGGTTCAATGAGCCACTCTGTCTACAGGAAAGCCACCCATACGGATGCTTATCTAAAACCGGATTCCCACCACCATCCATCCCAGAAGAATTCCCTCATCAAGACTCTATATCATAGAGCCCAATGCATCTCCGACCATGAACACGTTGCCAGTGAACTCAAACACGTACGCCAAGCTCTTAAGGCTAATGGTTACTCCGACTACACAATCCGCAAAGCCATCACTCCAACCATCAAGAAGGATCCTGTTGAGGAGCCTTTCAAGACCATCACCTTACCCTACATTGCTGGGGTCACAAAAAAGATCTCCAAAATCCTGATTAAACACAAGATACAGGTCCGATTCAACACAGTACATAAAATCCGTGATCTGGTACCGTCTGTAAAAGATGTGGTTCCAGACATACAGTACCCTGGCGTCTACAAACTAAGTTTCCTCTGTGGTAGCAGTTACATTGGGGAAACCAAACGACATGTCTCGGACCGCATCCGTGAACATAAAGCTGACCTGAAACACGGTAGGACAAACACCTCAGCCGTGGCAGATCACTGTTACAACTCAGTGGGCTCACATGATATTGACTTCTCCAAGACAGAGGTTCTCTGCAAGCCATCTGGCTATCATGAGAGATTCGTTCATGAGGCGATCCACATATACAAACACAGAGACAATTTTAACCGAGAAGATGGATTCTGGTTTAGCAATCATTGGAAGGACGTAATAAACCATTTCGATACACATTAGGGTGTGTAGAATAATACATAGTATTATATTAAAATGTATAAGGTATAGGTTGGTTTACAGCAATACAGTATATAATTTAATGTTGGGTTTATCTATGGCAGTATATAGTACGGTATATGCTCGTGTGATGTAAGAGAATAAAGTTTAGATGGAAGCATATTACAGAATTTTTACGACGTAGAATTGTAATGTATTACTTGCTGTTAGTAACTCAGCTTATTGTAGAGTATAGTAAGTATACTGATGGTGCTAAGCAGTTTATACTTTAGTTTTTTATGTAGTTTATACTTTAGTTTTCTACGTGGTTGTTGAGTAACTGCAGCTACATATCATTAACATTCCTTTCCTTTGTTACTGCTAATCCCTGCACCCCCCCTTGGTGCTGCTAATCCTGCATTATGCATGGGCATAATATGACTTTGAAACCCCCTTCAACGCCTACGCATTTGCCATGAATATGCTAAATTCCTCTTCATATGCACATTCTTTTTGTTAAGGCGCTCTTCCACCTCCAACGCAGCTTATATATAAGCTCCTAGTTTGGTAGTGTCTCATTCTTCACCTGAAGACGGCTGCTTGCGTTGTAGCCGAAACGTCGTGAGAATTATTTTATTTTATTATGTTTTATTTTTATTATTTTATTACTTCCCTTCTACGTGACTTTACCGAAAGAACCAAGAAGAACTTTCAGATTACTAAAGTCACCCAGTCCATTTGGGTCAGCAATTCCTGTGGTTGATCACAGACACTGACCTAGGGTTAATAGATCGGTGGTTACAGTAGGCCTGGGGTATAATATCATGTGATACAGCACGCTGATAAATTTGCTTTGAATGTGTGACATAACGTTGAACATTTTCAAGAAATAGATTAAACTTACGGACTAGGCAGGACATTGCTGCGCCTGTAGGGTCCTGGAAAGGCGTCGGAGTGAAAGCGTGTCCAAAGTGGCTCGTAATTAAATATTGGCAGGAATCCCGGGACTGGGTTATTAGACCGCTTTACATGCCCGTTACAAGTCAGTTACACTTGTTCATAGGCCCCGGCTGGGACAGATTGCCTTGGATCAGGCTTAATCAACTGGTATATGGCTACGGTCGATTTGGCACGCGGATTTGACACAATGACTGCGTAGCTGTCCAACAAAACAGCTGTCCACATTAGCGAGGAACTTTTTCCCCTTACAGCGGCGGCCAGAGTGTTTGATTTAACTCGACGAAGTGGCAAAAAAGGTGGTCGAGTGATTTGGATTGTTCGTGTGTGCGGTGGCTTGGGGAATAGCAACTTAAATGTCGATATTCAAGTTTGAAAGCCAAGCGATGGCCATTGGTGTCCCTCCTGCTGCTGCTTCAGTTGTATTTGCAAAGTTGGCAGGAGTTGACAATGTGGTCCACGTCTGGCAATGCGCTCTCCGTTTGGAAATGCGTCCTGCGGCTTGCAATGCGCTCTGCTCTTTACAAATGCGCTCTCGGGCTTAGAATGTGCTCTAGGGTTTGGTCAGTGTTTCCTTTGCTGTACCACCTTTAAAGACGGTGAACGGATCCGGCATGAAGGGTCATGCCGGAATCTCATTGAGTCATGATTCTCCATTTGTTTTCGGAGAGCCGTAACACCAAACGGCTTCATCGGTGGCATCCAACAATAGAAACGAGTCCAGGACGTCGCCGTAGGACGTCCGTTCGATACGTTTGCTGGCAAACGCAAGAACGGCGAGCAGAACTGACCTTATTCTTAGGTTTTTTCGGTAAAGTCACGTAGGTAAAAAAAATTAAAATTATAAAAGTAAAATAAAATAAAAATAAAATAAAAATCACGACGTTTCGGAGGCAACACAAGCTTCCGTCTTCAGGTGGAACCGTCACAGCACGCTTGCTGTATCAAGTAAATGAGAGATCACAAGAGATACTACCCCGTATATATACTGGTTGAGGGGGGGGTGAGCCAGGACAGGCCCCATTTTTATAATTATGGTCGTGATTTTTTTATTTTACTTTTATTAATTTTAATTACAATTTTTTACCTACGTGACTTCACCGAAAATAACTAAGAATATGAATCCTTGCAGTCACGAAAGCTTCAAATCTAGAAGAACTGACCTTGTAATCGGTGTCGGTGGCGGAGAGGATCTTGTTGAAGACATTGAGGTTGGTCCAGTTTTCGTCGCCATCCACGAAGATCGGCAACGGGTTGCTGCCTTGCTGGCTGGACCAGCGGTCGCCGATGGCGCACTTGGCCGCGATGTTGTTCTCGTGGACGCTGGCGACCAGGGTCCAGCCCCCTCCCTTGGTGTGCATGTCGCAGAACGCCTGGTACAGCTTGCCTTCCTTCGTCTGCAGCGAGTAGATGCCATCTGTGCGTGAATACAATGCGCATCGAGAGAGAGAGAGATCGTGACCAGGGGCAAGGAGTGCAACCATGGGGGGGGGGGGGGCCGGGGGGTTATGTGGCAGCAGCGTTATGCGACGCACACAGGACCCCAGTTGGCTACAGATAAACAAGTTACACACATTTTATGAAAATTAAGAATAGAAGATTCTATGATATAGCTGCTCACCCCGAGCTATAAATGCCCTGACAGTGCCTTGTCTTTGTGCTGTTCACCTCTGCGTTGTTCCCCGCTCTAACACTGCTGGTGAGACGAGGTCGTGAAGGAGGCTGTCTCTGGTATAGGCCAATCAGTTTCAAAGACAATGCTATCAGAGCATGTGTGTTTGCGTGTTCACCACAAGTACGTGTGGTTAATTAAGACTTGATTCCTCGCAAACGGTTTTTATTTGGTGTTTGAAGATCTGAACCACCTGTGTTATTGCCAGAAAGGGTAAAACTTATTATTATTTTGCATGCATTGATTCTGGCAAAACAGGTCACATGATAAGTAAAAATATATATATATACACGTGTTTTGAATTGTTTTTTTAAATATAGGAGAACAATACAATTTAGTTATAGCCTATATATTTATTACAACCGTAGCTATTTCAGTTCAAGTGAGTCGGCAGAAAGGAGGGGTCGGCGAGCACAGTCGTATCTTGCATAGCCACCCACTTGCATAGCCACCCACTTGCATAGCCACCCACTTGCATAGCCACCCACTTGCATAGCCACCCACTTGCATAGCCAACCACTTGCATAGCCACCCACTTGCATAGCCACCCACTCCCCCGTTGCAATAAGTCGTTGTGCCCCCTGTGCAGGTGCCTCCGATAGCATCGATGTGCAGAAGGCCCGGGACGAGGAACGAGTTGGCAAAGAGGACAAGAGAGGGAGCCCCAGCCATTCGCGGGGAGAATGGCAGGACATGGAATTGTTACCGAACAGAACAGCCACGTCCTCGACGCCGAAGATAAATGGATGTGATGGTTTTCAGGATTACCTTTGGTTGTGTCTGTCGTCTGTTTTATCTCCAGGCAGGATCTCGGGTACTTTTTGCAGCACGCGTCCGCTAGATTTTTGGCACAGCTGGTCCAGTCGTATGAATTGTCGCATGTCTTCTTGGTAATCGTAATGCCTGCAGACACACCTCATGCAGTTTAATACGTAGGCTTTCGCGACCAATATTATTAATAATAACAAAGCACCAAATAGGTGACTACTCCAGCCTACCGGTGTGTTGGAGAAGTAGTCACTATTTGGCGCTGTGTTTACGTGACAAATCCCTTACTAATTGGCTGTGTCGGGTGGTGGAGGGTTTCGACACATTCATACTTACGCGATCTAAGTAAAAAACATTTACACCTCATGCAACCCGATTTCATACTCAATCATTCTGATTCCACTAGTCAGACCACTCTTATGTTCTATTAGAAACTCGCTGATCATTTTTAAACCGACAATTCTCGTTTTCTGAGTTCGGAGAGTAGTGAGGCAGTGGTTAGTGCGCTACATTATGATCCCGATCACTTTCAATCCTGGCCGCGGCTAACAAGTGCTGATTTTACATCAAAATCAATCCAGCTCCCCACCCCCCCCCCCCCCCCCCATTTTTTTATTCAGCTCTCCCCGGCCGATGTGGTTACTGTGGTGAGAAACCACATTAGCCAATCAACCCCCATGACCAACAAGGCAAGTGAGAATGCACGATTTAATGCCATGAACCTCTTGGGCGACAGAACATCGATCGATCCCCCGGTTTCTCCGGGCCCAACAGCTCAATACTTTGTTCTCCTGCCCACTTTGCGGCCCCAGCGTGGTGAGATTCTGCAGTGGCGAGATGTTAACTAACTCGCCTGGTACACAGGAGGTCGTGGGTTTAATCCCGACCCGAACGCCTGCTGCTGCTGTATATTTGTAGTTTGTATGTTTCGCGCCGTGGTCACGTGGGATTTTTCTCTGGGTCCTCCCGTTTTCCCCCCCCACATTTAAACACACGGGTTTAGAGCATTCGGTTGCTTTACATTTCCACGTGCTAATCCACTTTGTTGAGCCATCATTTGTGATGGCCAGGTCGCTTCTGAAAAAAGAACTGTATAGCTCAGTGGGCCTTACCTGGTGTAAAAAAAAAATAAAGTTTAGTTGAGTACAACACGCGGAATTATAGCGAATCGTTGGAGCGTGCTGACCTACCACCGTCGTCAGAAGCATTGAAGAAGTTTGGGTACTTGATCGGTCCCCTCACCGGGGTGACACCATTGGTGGGGATTATTTCGACGGCAAGGCCGCTAATGGCTTGAGTGACGTTGTCCGCTCGTGTCCATCTGCCACCGACAGCCGCAGCTGGAAGACCGCACGGACGTGCACCGCATGGTCGGTGAGCACGATTGGTGGCGACGTACGGTCAAATTCACGTCCTGCACTGTTAGTCCGACCCCCTCCGTCTAGCAACCATTGTTTAAAAAAAAAAGAGGGCAGTCAGGGCCAGTCCTCGAAAATATGGTTGGCTGTCGGGCAGCGCTGTTACGTTTAAGGACATCAGTGTATGAACTTCACCGCTTACGCTGTCAAATCCGGGGGAAATGATCAAGCATGCACTTAGAGAGACTCCCACTGTTTTAAAGTTGGCTGGGGGAATTGACATCACTCCGTCAAAGATCTTAAGGGGGGGCGGGGGAGAATGTCTCTATACACAAAAGTGGGGGGGGGGGGGGGAATGTGTGGAAATTATATTTGTGAATACTGTTACAAATCAGCACTGTTATGACCTGTCCACAATGATCCTTCCAAATTTGGGAAGCCGACAGTTGGTTAAATTAGGAATGTTTCCTTTCAACCGTGATGTGTTTCTTGCACGTGAAGGCTCAAAATATGCCAAGTAACCAAGCAAAGTTGTAACAGTGTTATTATTTTTCGATTTAAAGCTTTCGTGACTGCAGGGATTCATCTTCTTGGTTCTTTCGGTAAAGTCACGTAGAAGGGAAATAATAAAATAATAAAAATAAAACATAATAAAATAAAATTCTCACGACGTTTCGGCCACAACACAAGCAGCCGTCCTCAGGTGAAGACAGAAGAGAGAGCTGTCATTGGAGCGCTGTCTTTCAGACAGCTCTGTTTCTTCACCTGAGGACGGCTGCTTGTATTGTGGCCGAAACGTCGTGAGAATTTTATTTTATCATGTTTTATTTTTATTATTTTATTATTTCCCTTCTACGTGACTTTACCGAAAGAACCAAGAAGATGAGTGTTATTATTCACAATTGATTTTGGGTTAGGACACGCACTGACTGGGCCACATCTTTGCGTGATGTGCTCCATCACCCTCCACAGCGAAACAAATGGAAATTTCCATGGCTACAATCGTTGAACAAACGTGCCAATTATTATTTTTTCCAGCTCACCAGTAAGTTGAACAACCATTTTCACAACTTTTTGTTTTTAACGGTAAAGTCAAGTAAGGTAAAAAATTAAAATAAATGAAATCACGACGTTTCGGAGGCAACACAAGCTTCCGTCTTCAGGTGGAAACGTCACAGCAAAATGACTGTATCAGTAATTTTAAACTTCTGATACAGTCATTTGCTGTATCAGTAATTTTGCTGTATTAGTAATTTAGCTGTGACGGTTCCACCTGAAGACGGAAGCTTGTGTTGCCTCCGAAACGTCGTGATTTCATTTATTTGAATTTTTTTACCTACGTGACTTTACCGAAAAAACCAAAGAGTATGAATCCTTGCAGTCACGAAAACTTCAAATCTAGAACCATTTTCACAACCCGATTTCGTTATTAAGCTGCTCCACAAAGTACAAATTCAGCCGAAGCTATTCCAACTTTGGCCGCATTTGTGGGTTGTCGTTTAGATGCAATAAATAAGCCGAAACAATTACATAATGGACGAAGCAAATCGGAATTTAACGATGCTCAAACGGTGAATGCAAAGTTCAACCTCTTGTACATACATAGTTGTGAACCATTGCAAAATATATCGTATTAAACTTCACTTTAAGAACAGCATTAAAATGTCAGCATCACAAGTAAAACATTCCCGTGAAATGGAGGCCCAGATAAAATAGTACGTTACGGAGAAATGTATCTTTGAGTGCAATTCCAAAAGTTGTGAAATTAACTGCTTCAGTGACTACAGCTTTTTGTCAAATAAAAAAAAACCCATCAAGAATATTACCCTCAACGCTCAATGCACGCGGACTTGTTCTTGTCGATGTTTTCGAGTGCCTTTTCTAACCGTGCATTATTAACTTGACGTGAATCGATGAACTTTGCCTCTCGTGTTTGGAGCTCTCTGTCCGATCGCGTCTGAGGTTTTGCTCCCCATGGTGGCGACGTTCAAATCACGGCCAAAGGCGGCCGGCCCAGTTCTATAACACTGGTCAACACACTTTTTCTGGCATAAGGTATTCCAACGGTTTTAAGGTAAGTTTGGGGTGCTGATTCCAAATCTGGCATCAGTTTTTGTCCATCATATCAGGTTTTTGAGATATCAAATATTGCATTTTCAATAAAAACTGCAGAATAAAAATATTAAATAAATGTGGATATCTACATAAAATGATATTATAAACACACTATCCTAAAAATACAGCACCGTATTTTAACACAAAAGTAGTCACTGACTCGCAACAACTTGCAATCATAAGTGACAGAGTTAATTTCGGGTAAAATCAATGAAAATGGGGTATGCCGATAGCATAAAATGAGATGTGATAGAGCAAATCTGAGATCAGATTTGGAATCAGCACCCTGAAATTCGTCTAAAACAGCTGCAAAAGTCCAGGCCATAATTTTTTTTTGTTGACCAGTGTAATTTAGCCTTCTGAATTTATTCTGGCATCTTAATTATTTTACCGTTTTTATAATGCTGTGTCTTCTCCTTATATACGTGGATTATTCTTTTGCTCACATTTGGCTTTTGTAAATGTTTGGTTTGATCTTAACTCGTGTGAAGTGGCATTGAACATTGTGCTTCGAAAGTGTGCTCTACAAATAGAGATAAAAAAAAACATTATTACCTCGGAAGCGGACATTTTCGTAAAGACGTGAATTACAAAACTAAGAAATCGACGAGTTTATTCATTTAAAAAAAATCGAGAAACTTACACACAAGTGCCGCGCTGGTGGTGAGAAACAACAGCAACGCTCCCAGAGTCCCCATCGCCACGTGGAATCCGCAGCTCGTACGGGACGCCGGCTCCACTCGTGGTCCAGATGCGTCCCTCCTTAAATAAGAACCGCTCGCTGCCAAACTCGCAGAGCTAACGCGACATCATCTGTCGAGCGCACGAGGGGCAGCTCTGTAGGCTGGACATTTTGGCAGCCTTCCTCTGCAAACAGTGGCTCGGTTTTATTTTTTTGGGCGGGGGGAGGGTGGTAAGCGCCGTCGCATTTCAAGCTCTCTCCAGCAAGAATTTCCAACGGGGATGGGGGGGGGGGGAGAAGGTGCCTCATGCCACTTGATGGAGCTCTGGTTCAAGAGAGGTCCTTGACGGATGCGGTGCAAAGATGATGGTGAAGGTCTGGGGGTGGGAGTCGGTGGGCAAAGATCGCGGGTGTTTCATCCAGCGCAGCGGATTCTGGCAGAGGTCAAGAAGCGATGGCTTCACTTCTCATGTAGTTGGCGTTTTACTTTACAGCTTCTTTATCAATCCGCTGCTGGATGAAGCCCCCCCGCCCCCCAGCACTCCCTCCTGTCATATACTGCGCCACGCTTGTCATTGTGTGCTGAAGTGGGGGTGTGAGGCCGAAGGGCCAGCTCGAATATCAAAATTCCATCTCTGTGAAATGAACAAAAATATCGGCTCGATTGTCATATTTAGCTAACTCTGCTCGAGTACGATTCCCCGACCAACGTCGAGTGGATCACTTCAGCAGCGTCGTTTCAAGAAAATGCAACAACTCCGAAACCGGTTTCGACTCCGCAGTGTCTCGTCAGCAGTCAGGTTCGCCTAAATGAGCGCTGGTGTAATGCCGATCTTGCGGGTATCGGAGATATGGGGGGGGGGGGGGGGGTGACCAACTCCTTACGATATGGGGTCCCCAGATTGCATTCGTGACCGATGGCCCACTACACTTGCGGTGGTGCTATGGGGCGTGAAAAAGTTATCGCAATGCCAGAGTTTTGAAGCAAACACGCCAGGATGGGTCCGCTCCTGCCCAGGCTGCCGTGACTTTACTGCGGGTCGCAGTCACCCCGCATCTCTCGGACGCGCTGATAATGTCTATTATCATTACAGACTCTTATCATTCTTGATTAAACATGTTTTGCTCAGACAAATGTGTTAAATCGATAGTGTTTGTTTCGAATAGATAATTGTCTGGCGATGTTTCTGTTTTTTAGACGAAGAATTGCGCTCCAGTGGTTTTTCTTTCAATTGCCTTCCAGTCGGCACGCTTCGGCAGTGGAGCAATGGTTTGTAATCCAGAGGTCACCTGCTCGATCTGATCGCACGGCGTGGCAGTTGAAACAACGGGGGAGAGTTGCTTCACGACGTTTCACACGTCGTAGGCTTTCGCGACCAATATCATCCATAATATAGGGGTTTTTTTCGGTTAGATCGAGTAAATAATAAAAATGTGTCGTTAAACCCGCCACCACCCGACACAGCCAATTAGGTTTGTCACGTAAACAGAACGTGCCAATTCGTGACTAGTACAGCACACCGGTGTGTTGGGGAGCAAAGCCACAACATTTACAATCTGAGTAACGAATTGGCATATTCTGTTTACGTGACAAACCTTACTTATTAGCTTTGTCGGGTGGTGGCGGGTTTATTGGCACATTTATATTTAAGCGATCTAAACCAAAAAAACCTAGATTATACACACAAAGTGCCCGCCACAAATTAACCCCAATTCTTTGCTGATCTCGTCAAGGAGCATAAACCATCATGCGAACTCCCGCATCGCGCGGAACTTTCAGATGCGCTTCTGTGGCCGTCTGGAACGCGCTCTTCCTTCCGATACTAGGACTCTACTGGAGCTATGCACTTTTAAATCGAGGTTGAAAACTAATTTCTTTAGAACTGCGTTTTTGTCTTCGGTTCGTTGTCCTTCCCCCACACCTCCGATTTAACCTTGTGCGTCACCCAGCCCATGATGAACGCGACTTTGATGTTTCAACGTCGGTGTGTTTTAACCTTGTGCGTCACCCAGCCCATGAGAAACGCGACTTTGATGTTTCAACGTCGGTGTGTTTTAACCTTGTCCGTCACCCAGCCCATGATGAACGCGACTTTGATGTTTCAACGTCGGTGTGTTTTAACCTTGTCCGTCACCCAGCCCATGATGAACGCGACTTTGATGTTTCAACGTCGGTGTGTTTTAACCTTGTGTGTCACTCAGCCCATGGTGAACGCGACTTTGATGTTTCAACGTCGGTGTGTTTTAACCTTGTGCGTCACCCAGCCCATGATGAACGCGACTTTGATGTTTCAACGTCGGTGTGTTTTAACCTTGTGTGTCACTCAGCCCATGGTGAACGCGACTTTGATGTTTCAACGTCGGTGTGTTTTAACCTTGTGCGTCACCCAGCCCATGATGAACGCGACTTTGATGTTTCAACGTCGGTGTGTTTTAACCTTGTGTGTCACTCAGCCCATGGTGAACGCGACTTTGATGTTTCAACGTCGGTGTGTTTTAACCTTGTGCGTCACCCAGCCCATGATGAACGCGACTTTGATGTTTCAACGTCGGTGTGTTTTAACCTTGTGTGTCACTCAGCCCATGGTGAACGCGACTTTGATGTTTCAACGTCGGTGTGTTTTAACCTTGTGCGTCACCCAGCCCATGATGAACGCGACTTTGATGTTTCAACGTCGGTGTGTTTTAACCTTGTGCGTCACCCAGCCCATGGTGAACGCGACTTTGATGTTTCAACGTCGGTGTGTTTTAACCTTGTGTGTCACTCAGCCCATGGTGAACGCGACTTTGATGTTTCAACGTCGGTGTGTTTTAACCTTGTGCGTCACCCAGCCCATGATGAACGCGACTTTGATGTTTCAACGTCGGTGTGTTTTAACCTTGTGCGTCACCCAGCCCATGATGAACGCGACTTTGATGTTTCAACGTCGGTGTGTTTTAACCTTGTGCGTCACCCAGCCCATGAGAAACGCGACTTTGATGTTTCAACGTCGGTGTGTTTTAACCTTGTCCGTCACCCAGCCCATGATGAACGCGACTTTGATGTTTCAACGTCGGTGTGTTTTAACCTTGTCCGTCACCCAGCCCATGATGAACGCGACTTTGATGTTTCAACGTCGGTGTGTTTTAACCTTGTGTGTCACTCAGCCCATGGTGAACGCGACTTTGATGTTTCAACGTCGGTGTGTTTTAACCTTGTGCGTCACCCAGCCCATGATGAACGCGACTTTGATGTTTCAACGTCGGTGTGTTTTAACCTTGTGTGTCACTCAGCCCATGGTGAACGCGACTTTGATGTTTCAACGTCGGTGTGTTTTAACCTTGTGCGTCACCCAGCCCATGATGAACGCGACTTTGATGTTTCAACGTCGGTGTGTTTTAACCTTGTGTGTCACTCAGCCCATGGTGAACGCGACTTTGATGTTTCAACGTCGGTGTGTTTTAACCTTGTGCGTCACCCAGCCCATGATGAACGCGACTTTGATGTTTCAACGTCGGTGTGTTTTAACCTTGTGTGTCACTCAGCCCATGGTGAACGCGACTTTGATGTTTCAACGTCGGTGTGTTTTAACCTTGTGCGTCACCCAGCCCATGATGAACGCGACTTTGATGTTTCAACGTCGGTGTGTTTTAACCTTGTGTGTCACTCAGCCCATGGTGAACGCGACTTTGATGTTTCAACGTCGGTGTGTTTTAACCTTGTGCGTCACCCAGCCCATGATGAACGCGACTTTGATGTTTCAACGTCGGTGTGTTTTAACCTTGTGTGTCACTCAGCCCATGGTGAACGCGACTTTGATGTTTCAACGTCGGTGTGTTTTAACCTTGTGCGTCACCCAGCCCATGATGAACGCGACTTTGATGTTTCAACGTCGGTGTGTTTTAACCTTGTGCGTCACCCAGCCCATGGTGAACGCGACTTTGATGTTTCAACGTCGGTGTGTTTTAACCTTGTGTGTCACTCAGCCCATGGTGAACGCGACTTTGATGTTTCAACGTCGGTGTGTTTTAACCTTGTGCGTCACCCAGCCCATGATGAACGCGACTTTGATGTTTCAACGTCGGTGTGTTTTAACCTTGTGTGTCACTCAGCCCATGGTGAACGCGACTTTGATGTTTCAACGTCGGTGTGTTTTAACCTTGTGCGTCACCCAGCCCATGATGAACGCGACTTTGATGTTTCAACGTCGGTGTGTTTTAACCTTGTGTGTCACTCAGCCCATGGTGAACGCGACTTTGATGTTTCAACGTCGGTGTGTTTTAACCTTGTGCGTCACCCAGCCCATGATGAACGCGACTTTGATGTTTCAACGTCGGTGTGTTTTAACCTTGTGTGTCACTCAGCCCATGGTGAACGCGACTTTGATGTTTCAACGTCGGTGTGTTTTAACCTTGTGCGTCACCCAGCCCATGATGAACGCGACTTTGATGTTTCAACGTCGGTGTGTTTTAACCTTGTGCGTCACCCAGCCCATGGTGAACGCGACTTTGATGTTTCAACGTCGGTGTGTTTTAACCTTGTGTGTCACTCAGCCCATGGTGAACGCGACTTTGATGTTTCAACGTCGGTGTGTTTTAACCTTGTGCGTCACCCAGCCCATGATGAACGCGACTTTGATGTTTCAACGTCGGTGTGTTTTAACCTTGTGCGTCACCCAGCCCATGATGAACGCGACTTTGATGTTTCAACGTCGGTGTGTTTTAACCTTGTGTGTCACTCAGCCCATGGTGAACGCGACTTTGATGTTTCAACGTCGGTGTGTTTTAACCTTGTGCGTCACCCAGCCCATGATGAACGCGACTTTGATGTTTCAACGTCGGTGTGTTTTAACCTTGTGTGTCACTCAGCCCATGGTGAACGCGACTTTGATGTTTCAACGTCGGTGTGTTTTAACCTTGTGCGTCACCCAGCCCATGATGAACGCGACTTTGATGTTTCAACTTCGATGTGTTTTATACGTGCTCGTCATCAGAGGGCAGTGCATCAAAATCCATTGGACTGTATATCTATCCTGGCCATGTGTATGACCCCCCACTCCCTCACCTTTACCAACCCGTACTGACCAGCGTGATGAAGTATGGCCAATTAACGCCCATGACGCACACGGCGAAGGGATGCCCTCATCTAGCAGTGCAATGTCAAAAGGGTTGCACATGCCCATGAACAAATGGCAGTCTTCCTGTTAACCGTACAGTAATGTCTATTAGACAGAGGTTCTTTGCAAGCCATCTGGCTACCATGAGAGGTTCGTTCATGAGGCTATTCACATATACAAACACAGAGACAATTTCAACCGACAAGATGGATTCTGGCTTAGCAATCATTGGAAGGATTTTATCAACCATTTCGGGTCTTAATTGATTGTGTTCACGCTTACGGTGACTTTCAGACCGCATTCCATTTTCTGCTCCCCCCACCCCTCCTCTTTTCCGAACATAGATGAACTCGTCCATCTGGCAAACAGCCAAATCGCTGTCTGTGGTGCTGACGTTAGAAAAAACCGTCACTTTTTAAATCCTTTATATTAAGTTCGCTTGCTTGCTTGCGTGCTTGCTTGCTTACGACCGTGTAAATCTTTCGGTCGTTTTTTAACCCACTTCCCATGATCCAATCGAGTTGACATTTGCCACACAGACTCGTTGTGCGTGACAATTAATGTTCTTGAAAATTTTTTTCCAAAATTTTACACTTTATAGGACAAAAATATTATATTTCATTACCAATTGTTTAATACTGCAGACAATCATCTGACCCAAAGGTGGCAGCCATCTCAAGCCAGAGGACGAGAGGACTCAAGCCGCCACGCATATAAAGGATTTAGAGTGAAAAACTTTGTTTTTACGGGTTTACTTATTTCAAATTTTCTTGCTGTGGATTTCACACCTGATGATGATTGCTTGTGTTGCAGTCGAAACGTCGTGATAATTTTTATTGTTTTATATTTATATTATTTTATTATCTCCCTTCTACGTGACTTTACCGAAATAACCAAGAATATAATGTATATTATTTAACTAAACTTTTTTTATTTTACCATATCAGGGCCCACTGAGCTATATCGTTATTTTTCAAGAGCGACCTGCCCACCAATGATAGCTCAGCAAAGTGGCTTATCATGTGCAAATGTATAGCAGCCAACTACTCCAAAGGCATGGTATTTAATGTGTGGGGGGAAAACGGGAGGACCTGGATAACAATCCACGCGGCCACGGGTGAAGAGAGACACGCAAACTCCAAATATACAGCAGCAGGCGTTGGGTTCTGGATGAAACCCGCGACCTCCTGTATACCAGGCGAGGTCGTTAACATCTCCCCGCCACCGTGGCGCCCTCATTATACAAATGTTTTTATTGTAAAAAAATAGAAAATACAGGTTAGTTAATAACACTGACTTTAAAATAAATAAAATACATATTCAATAGGCAACGTTTCGGCCGGTAATCCTTCATCAGAGCATATTGTTTACGTGCTATGAAGAAGGCCATTGCCAAACAAGTGTACTATACAAGTGTATTAGAAATTGTTTTACCTATTAAGACCACAGTCTTGTTCTTGGCTTTTTGTTGTTGATCATGCAGCAGCAGCAGCAGCAGCGTCACCTATTAATGTGTTTAACCCTGACATCACGACCATTCATGAACGACGAGGGGTTATTCAGTAAAATCCGTTCATTCAGCAAACCCCTAAGATACCCGAGAAATATAGCGATGAGAGAAGTGGTATCGTTTAATAATATATCAATTTTATTCGCGCACATTTGCAACGTAAGCAACATAAACAGGTGGCAATGCTGTCACACAATGCTGAGCCAGTGCCCCTTTCTGACAAATATCCCTCGAATAGCCTTAACAGACTGTTGGGGCAAGTGCTGTTAGCGAGCACCTGTGAAGGCCGGAATGGCACACGAGGGGGTGGATGGCCAGCACCATGCCCAGCCGCCTTTGTCTCCCCAGCGGCGATGTTTATACGCACCGCACCGGGTACTCATTTAAGGTTGAGTCGACCTAGGGAAGACCTAGGACCGGTTCAGATCATCGTCACTGGTGTCGGCTGTGAGCGGGAATCGAACTCGGGTCGCCGGGTTCGTAGCGCAGCGCGCTAACCGCTACACTACCGCTGCACGACACACACGTGCGTATTAAGCATCGTCCATCTCACACGTCAGTGGCACTGTCAATTATTTTTAAATTTGATCCTCAGAGCCGCGGCAGGCCTCACCACAGGCAAAGGAAGACGTAATACAAGAAACAACTAATATTATAAAGACACCAGTTGTGGTTCTTGTGTAAGTTTCCATTATTTGCAAGCGAGGAATGGTGAATCGATATGGTTTACAATTTACCGTTTACAAATTGGCCGTAATTTTGCAAATAATGATGGCAATGTTACGAAGTCAAATCCTTCCCGAGTAACTTTTTGAAATTCCCATTTGAAAGAACAAAACAACAACAAAAACTCACCACCTTCATCACTGACGATGCCTTTCCACAGAAACATTTAGCACACAGACGAGGCTAACACTACAGGCAATGGCCATTCTTCAGCCGAGCTGGGTGACCTTGGCCGAGGTGACATCGGGTGACCTCGGGTGACCTCGGGTGACCTCTGCCAGCACGACCTCGACGGCCCACTCAGCGCACGCCGGCACTGCTCTTCATCAACGGGCACCGGGCAAGGCCAAATCACCCTTCCGTCGAGGCAAGACCACGTGCACCCGTCTTGATGCGCAAACTCCAGCAGCAAATTGCGCTCACTCCGGGCGGCGGTCGACGTCGTTCGAAGTGAGAGACTGCGACCCTCGTGATCCGCGGTGCATGGGCAGCAAGGGAAGTTTGTGCAAATTCTGTCGCAAGAGTTCGCACGCTCGGCGCAACGGCCGCTCGCTCGCTGGTTGTGCGCGACGAATGAAGACCTTTGACGTGACTGACTTGGAGACGTAACTTCTTTGGAGGCCATTTTTTAATGAAACAACGAGCACACTGGTATACAATTTCTACTGTTGCACAACGCTCTGTCTCTCGCCTACAACACGATGCTAGCCGTCCGACACCGACGGCGCTGAGCTAAGACAGCCAACTCCTGCCAGCAGCGCAATTATCAAGTGGACGACGACAGCGAGGAAGGCAACAGGAGCGACGACGATGAGGACGGGGGGATCCCACTCCAAACGACGGCCCCGATCCCCCGCTCGGAGTCCCCTTTTACCCCGCCAGCGTGGCCTCGCTCCGCCCCGGCCACGCCCCCCTTCTGGAACCTACGAGCCGGGCTCTCGACGCCTCCCCTCCGTCACCTTTACCCTCGATCCCTCTCGGGTCTGCCACGTGGCCTGCTGTCAATCAGCGCTGCTTCCCTCTGCAGGTCCCCTTCTCTGCCAGCAGCCAGCGCTATGCTACGTAGTGACCAATTCTATGTCACTACACGTTGACTGATTTGCCTACGGAGTCCGCTGCCCCCCACCACCCCCACGTAGCCCGCAAAGGCCGTTGGGGCAATGTGCTTCTATACCACCGCGACACACGACGCAGTGTGTCCAGCACCATGCCCGGCCGTCTTTGTCTCCCCGGTGCTGATGTTTTAACACGTCAGCATCGGGTACTCGTTGAGGCCCGTGGTCAGTTCAGATATTCAGATGTGAGTGGGAGTGCAAGACGGTAAGCAGCCTTCACGCGGCCCACTCTGTCGGGTGAGAAATCACGACGATTGCCGTCAACGCGGCGACCGAGCATCGATCATCGATCCCGCGGTTCTCCGGAGCGACAACGCAGTGGGGTCGGCGGGTCCGTAGAGCATTGCGCTGACCATGGCACAAAAACGCACACGCGCACACACACTCATCCTGGGCAGCCATAAGGGGCATGATGACCCGACGCCGTGACCCCGGTCATCCTCGCAGCAGCAGCGGTGGATTTTGGCTGGCCATCAAACAAAGACGGTGGCGGTAACCGCATCGCGCGGCGCTTTCAGATGCGCTTCTGCGGCCGTCTGGAACGCTCTTCCCTTCCGATATAAGGAAGCCACTGGGAGCTGCGCACTTTTAAATCGTCTGGATTGAAAACTGACTTCTTGAGAACTGCTTTTGGTGTTGAGTTTGTCGTCCTTCTCTCCCGCACCTCCGATTAGCAGGGTTGGCTACGTACGGTGCGAAATAAGTTCAACGTATATGCTTACTCCCTGCGCAATCATCCTATACGTATATCCGGTACACCGGTGTCGACATCAGACAGTCGTTGACGTTGCCGGGCACTACGCGTTGCCCGCAAGGTTAGCCGATGGTACGGCTGTGTTCAAAGGCAGCTTTGAAGAGGAAGTCGCAGAGTTTCGTTGATTCAAGCTTGGGCACCACTGTGAATGGAGATCCTTTATTTATTTCCCTTTTTAAGAGGAGTTGCTATTGAGATAAGCTTTTTTTTTTATTAATTCATAACGGCGAGGTAAACATTTAATTGCCATTGTCATGGCAGTGTGCAGTTTTAAATACAAAAATCGGGTTTTTTTCCTTTGCTAAATAATGTGACTGGCTCCAAAGTTTACAATGTTCAAACCCAGGGTTAAAGCAAGACTGCAGTTTTCACCTCGATGACCGGGACAATCCAGGGGCGAGATGTTAACTATCTCGTCTGGTAAGCAGGATGGTCGTGGGTTCGATCGCGACCCTGACGCCTCTATATTTGGAGTTTGCGTGTCTCTCTTCCCATGGTTGCGTGGATTTTTCTCCGCGTCCTCCAGTTTTTCCCTCCACATTTAGAATCAACATGCGTTTCGAGTATTTGGCTTCTGCTATAAATGTCCACGTGATAAGCCACTTCGTTGAGCTATCATTTGTGGCCAGGTCGCTTCTGAAAAAAATATATTTAACTCAGTGGGCTTTACCTGGTAAAATAAAAAAATATATAGATTAGTTTTAAATCTGTATTCGGGTGGCAGGAGTGGATTCACAACCGAGATCTCGTACTGGTAATGTGTTCAACTTTATTACAGTTTACTGGACATTTCTGGTAGACCGAGACTGAGAAGTATGCCCTGCTTCGATAGACAGTGGAAATAGTGGTGATGTGTGTATGTATGTTGACCTGCGCTAATTGAAGGACACAAATTTACGCAGGAGGGGGCGATGTTGCTTCTCCGTAATTTCAAGTGAGAAATTTGCAGGTATTTCATTGAGCTTTGGGATGCGTAATTGGTTTAACACGTCGGCTTTCGCGACCAATATCAACCATAATACAGTTTTGTTCGCGATCTAACCCCAAAAACCTGTATTATGGACAAGTTACATTGCAAATTTGTTTGTTTTTTAGCTGTGGGAAGACACCCGAAGACTTCGAAAGAAACCCATGCCAGTACAAGGGGAGAACATACAAACTCCAAATACAGAGAGGCACCAGAGTCAGGATTCAAACCCAAGAACTCCTCACTGTGAGGCCACAAGTGTAACCACTGTGCCACCCAATGACTCATCGTAAACCTGCTGAGAGAATGCCTCTCTGTCCTCTGGCCCCGAAGATATTAAGGAACTGTGGAACGGACAGTAGAGATGACCGCGAGCAGAGAGAAAGAGGAGCGGGGTAGGAAGAAAGACCCCAAAGATAAATGGGAAAAATTTCACGGGCAAAAAAGATGGGGGTCACGTGCCAGTGACGGCACACACCCCCTTGACTCTGGCCAATGGCATGGCACTGCGACCGATAGGAGGGCACGATCGGGCCACCCGCCAGGTCAGCGGTAAAATATGAACACGGCGGCCTCGAGCAAGCTCTTGGAGGCGCTCCATTCGACGTGCGTCCCGATGCCGCTCCAGTCGAAGGCGCTGAAGTCACCGCACTGTCTCGGAGTCTGCTCTGGGACGTAGCCCGCGCCGCCGATGCAGTACTGCAGACACGGGAGAGGCGGAAACGCGGGTCAAGAGTGCCGCCCTCTGTCTCGCCTCTCCAGGAAAGTCAGCCTCGCTCATAGGCTGATAGCAACGCATCATCGTTACAACGAGCCGTCTTTTTTTTAATCAGAAAACCGGTCACATGGCACAGATCCCAATTCTAGATTTGAAGCTTTCGTGACTGCAAGGATTCATACTCTTAGGTTTTTTCGGTAAAGTCACGTAGGTAAAAAATTTAAAAATTAAAATACAAATAATAGAAATAATGATAGAAATAAAATAATAAATCACGACGTTTCGGAGGCAACACAAGTCTCCCCACCGCCACTCCCCAGCAATCACTTGTATTTAAGGGCTTGTCTCTTGGATTTTTCCTCACTTGATACAGTAAATTTACGTGTGACGGTCCCATCTGATGACGGAGACTTGTGTTGCCTCCGAAACGTCGTGATTTATGATTTTATTTCTATTATTATTTATTTTATTTTTATTATATATTTTAATTTTCACCTACGTGACTTTACCGAAAAAACCTAAGAGTACAGATCCCAATGACGCCATTACTCGTGACGTCGTCTCGTGACGTCACGCGCCTTGTGACGTCGTTAGCTGTACTCAAGAGCCACCGTCGTTCATTGTCAGCTACGATCCAATCCTCCCCGGATGAAAGCCTCCCCGGGACTCCACCATCCCTCGCCCTCCTGCGACGTAACAATCCGCCTAGCAGCCGCACACTCCACAGCTGTTTTCATCGCCCAAATGTCCGTCTTCGGACGTGCTCCAAAGCACCCTTCCCTCCCTTGGCTACGTGATTTATGGGAGCATTTTCGGGTCTTATGCAACCTGGGGGTGGGGCACCTCTGATTTTCAGGTCCAATGGCCTAATCGTTACACTACACAACTATGGCTGTCCGCCTGATGATGCTGGTTGTTGTAATTGCCGGCTAAATGTCACGGTGCTCGAAGTCTAAATGTTGTCGTGGGTTTACTCTCCAACACACAACCGCTTAGTGCTGAACTAGTAACTACACTAAACACTACACTATACCCTACACTATACACTACACTATAATTGTAAATGTTGTTGTGGGTTTACCCTCCAACACACAACTGGTTAGTGCTGAACTAGTCACTACACTATACACTACGCTATACACTACACTACTATACACTACACTACTATACACTACACCATACACTACACTATAATTGTAAATGTTGTAGTTAGTTTACCCTCCAACTCACAACCGGTTAGTGCTGAACGAGTAACAAATTGGTGCTTTTTGTTCACGTGACGAACCTTACAAATTGGCTGTGTCGGGTGGTGGTGGCGGGTTTAACGGCACATTTATATTTATGCGATATTACCCCCAAAAACCCCCCTCTATTATGGATAATATCGGTCGTGAAAGCCTAGTACGTGTTAAACTGACTACACGAGATGTTCTGCATAAATAACACGTGTGCAACGATGATGATCGAGTCTAACGTAAGTACTCACGTGTTCAGTGTTGCAATTATCAAGCACCCTGAGGCCTGAGCAGAGGGCGAATGGTGCCCTCTCGTTGTTGAAGACCCTCAAGTGAACATAACCTTGAAGCGTCCCACCTGCAAAAAACACCGCTGCATGTGAGCTGTGGAACATCAACTATACAGCGTGTCTCAAATTGATGGGCCCAATTTCAAAGCAGTATATTTCACGATGGCAACATGTTACAATTACACAAAAAGTTGCAAACGGTTTAATGAGTTATGAAGTTTAACTAACCATTTTATAAATTCTCTATGTGCCCTCCACCTGCTGTAGGGACAACATCGAGACGATAGTTGAATTCGTCCCAAACGCCTCTCTTCTCACGTTTTCCTCTGAAGTGCATGGTCACCCTGTGCTCTTCCCCTTACATAAACAGCCCGTTTCCTAAAATTGTCGGTACCAGCGACGAATGCTCTTTGACATTGGCTGATCAATGCCAAAACGCCGTTGAAACGCACGCTGCACCGCAATTATGAATTCAGTCTTGCTGAACTGCAGAACGCAAAACGCCGTCTTGCGTATGATTAAGGCTTGGGGCTGTTTGCGCGCTGGGAGAGGCATCTCGCGGTGATCATTTCAAACTCTATGCCCCGCCCTCTCTATGCCCCGCCCTCTCTATGCCCCGCCCTCTCAAGTGGTAAGAGTTTCATTCATGGGCGGTTCGTGGTTGCAGAGATATAGCGATTTCAAATCGTGTCCATCTTTTTAAACACCCTGTATTTATAAGAAAACTAAAAAATAATTGATTTGAACCAGAATAAACTCCTCCTCGTTCGAGACGCAAATATAATGGCACCATCTCTTCCTGGATTTGACATCCCTCCTTCTACTCCTCGAAGACACTCGTGGAGCCATCAACCGAATCACAATGTCCTTCGTGAATGGAAAATTAAAGACAAGCCTATGATTAAAACTATTAAAATTAACCTAAAACTATATATATTTTTTTATTTTACCGGGTAAGGCCCATGGAGCTATATAGAATGAAATTAATAAAAATAAAACAATAAAAATCACGACGTTTCGGAGGCAACACAAGTCTCCGTCATCAGGTGGGACCGTCACAGCCAGATTTGATGCAGCATATCTGGGGTGGGATTTGTGCGGTATTATTTAAGCAGAATATTTATGCTGGAGGAATCCGATAAGCTATAAAAACTCTTTTTCACAGACGTTCAGTCAGTGTCCGGGTCAGAAAGTTACAACAACAACAAAGAATAATAATAATATAACACGACAGGGAAATACGGAGAGTGATGGTGAGAAAAAAATATTACATAGAAAACAGGGGGAACATAGACATAGAGTATGGAGAAGGGAGTTAGAGAGAGAGAGGAAAGGGGTAAGAAGGAGGAGAGCAGAGCATGAAATCTTTTGTGAAATCTTTCATTTAAAAAGGAGCAGGGGGGCACATAAAACAAAGCATTGAAAAAAAAACGAAATGATGAACGATGCAAAGTGCCGACTACACCGAGCATCTTCTTGTTTCCTCTGATCGTAAAAAAGAGAGAGAGACAGGAGAGAGATGGGGAGGGTTGGGAGGGGAGGGATGTGGATGAGATAGATTGGAGAAAAGTTGGGAGGGGGGATGGAGGGGAGAGGGGGGAGGGAGGTGCTGAAGAGGACACACGGATAGAGAAACGGAATGGACGGCGAGAAATCTAGACACACACTGGGGATGTTGCAGCACAGGGAAGGGCAAGAGAAAAGTGGAAGGGAGTCAGGGCTGCGTACAAGGTTTGTTTTTAAGCGAGACGTGTAAATTATTTGTCCGGAGCCGAAACGTAGGAATGCATTTTACCCAGACAAGCTGGGCAGACTTGAGAGGCGACGCTGATGGTGTTCCCAAAGTCGTAAACGATTGGGATGGCTGGCCCATTGCTTGCTGGACAGGTCCCTGAACCGTATACTAATGGATAGAAGATCTGCAACAACATCAACAATCAACGTAGAAATGTTAGGCACACACGGAATAATTCCTGTTGTCGACAAGATTAAAAGTTTCAGATTGTATTGAATTTATATAGATAAAAATTTCTCTACGTGAGTACAAAAAAACTATGTGTAAACCGAAAGGAGAGGGTAGGTGTTCACTAACTATCACAAATTTTCGCTAAAAATGTGAGCATAAGGTCGCTTTACCAAAATGAATTTACAACAGAGGTCGCAACCGGGTACCCGATACCCGTACCCTACCCGATACCCGGCTACCCGTACCCGGCCGGGTACGGGTACGGGTAGCCGTTGCGACCCTGGTGCGGCCGGGTACGGGTACGGGTAGGCCGTGAGTCACTGGTGATTAACCGTTTGTCATTTCGGGTAGGGTACGGGTAGGGAACGGGTACCCGTACCCAGCCGGGTACGGATACGGGTACCCATTTGCGACCCTGGTGCGGCCGGGTATGGGTAGGGGCAAGGAATCAAAACCCGTTTGCGACCTCTGATTTACAATAACGTACTGGATTCTGAATTGATGCGAATTTGAAAAAAAAGTGACTCGTTGTTGTTGATCGCAAGGGGAGAGGTCGGTGTTCACTAGTTTTCACAAACGTTCACTATAAGTGCGAGCAAAAGTCATCAAAGTGAAACGGCGCTGAGTTCAAATTAAAAGCGGATTCTGCTTCTTTATTTAAATTTCTATTCGCTGTGCAAAAATAAAAATATTGTCACGCACAAATGAACTGAATAGATAATTGATTATTATTCTGTAATGTCGTGAAAAACAAAGAGATAAAATACAAAAAACAGGCACGCACTTTGATCTCATCAAAAGCGGCGCTGTGATCTTTTTGGAGGAAATGTATTAATCTTGTAACAACAAAGCAATAATCAAGTTACAATTTTAATAAGAAGTCTTTCGTGGCATTTAGGCACTCCCCCCTCCCTTCCCCTTCTCCTACAGGGGCATAGGAGCTTAGGAAGGCACCGAGGGCTTGTTTAAGTTTATTGAAACGGTTTATTGGAACATGCGATTTAGACGGGTTTGGATTGCACTGTAATCCGTAATGTGTGCCGTAATGTGTGTTTGTGCTGGTGGTCAACCCCTTGTCATATCCTCTCTGTGGCGTTTTGTACCTGAATCGTCTTGTTAATGAACCAAAACATACTTTTGACCCAATGTTTTTGTGGACGAGTGAGAGAAAGAGAGAGAGAAAAGTTCGCCAGCGAAATTTGAGGACATTTAAGCAAACGTGACGAGTCAACCTAGAGACCGCTTGCAGCGGCGAAGGAAATCCGAGGCCACTGCGACAACTTCCGTGAAGCGATCGGTGGCCGCAGTGAAAATCGGTGCCGAAGGGGATTTGTGCTCTGCAGGCGAACCACGTGTGACCGGACAGGATTTGTGCTCTGCAGGCGAAGCACGCGGGGGTGACCGGACGGGAGCGCGTGTTTTGGCGCGCGGTTTGAGCCCAGCGTCCGTCTTGGTAAATACTGCGGGTTTATGAACCTTTAAAAAAAAAGTTGTTTTAAATGCCATCTTCTTCGCAGTGGGACATACAATATCCCGTGATGTAACGCTAAACTATAAACTGTAAAACTATGAACTATTTTTTTTTTTTACCGCGTAAGGCCCACTGAGCTATGTAGCTCTTTTCAAAAGCGACCTGGCCATCACAAATGATAGCCTAACGAAGTGGCTTGTCATCGTGTAGGGAGTTTTAGCAGTCGAATACTCTAAACGCACGCTGGTTCTAAAGGTGGATGGAAAAACCGGAGGACCCAGAGAAAAAAAACACACGCCCACGGGGAGAGAGACATGCAAACTCCAAATATACAGCAGTCGGGGTCGAACCCGCGACCTCCTGTATACCAGGCGAGGTAGTTAACATCTCGCCACCAACAACTCGCAAACGAATAGGCCACATGTGCCAGCGTCACGGTCCCAAATCTTTGTCAAAATTAAAAATGACTCACAAATTGCATCATTACCATGAGTGCAACGATCGCTAAAATGAATTCGCAATATCGCCCTCCCCCCGTCTGCCATCCTATTGGCCGTCTGCGAAACATAGCACCTCCTGAGAGCCTTGGTACGTTTAAGAGCGAGTGACACCTGGCGTCGTATGTACGTTGAAATTATTTCGCACCTGTGGATAACCACAAGCTGCTGAGCTTGTGCTATCCACAGCGACAAGCGAGTGCCCTGTTCAGCTCGGAGCATTGGGTGTCGGGGAGAGCCAGCCTATAAGTAACTCTTTTAATATATAGATTGAAAACTAATTTCGTTCAAACTGCGTTTCGTTGGTTAGTTTGTTAAGTGCCTGCGCACGCCGCTGTCTGAGGAATGGCACTACCAAGGAACGTGAACTACCACCGCTCGAAACTCTGGTCGTCGTAAACCATCATCACGTCAACTCTGGCCATCGTAAACGATCGTCTCGCAAACTCCGTTCATCATCCTCGCAGCAGCAGAGCGGCTTTTGGCTGTCCATCGAACAGAGATGGTCACCGCATCGCACGGCGCTTTCAGATGTGCTTCTGCGGCCGTCTGGAACGCTCTCCCTTGCGATAATCGGAAGCCACTGAAACTTTGACTTTTAAATCATCTCGATTGAAAACTCAATTCTTTAAAACTTCTATTAGTGTTTAGTTTGTTGTCCTTCCCCCGCGCAACTCTGATTAGCATGGTTGGTTACGTACGGCGCAAAAGAACTTCAACATGTATACATATCCACACTCCAGCCCCTGTGTCGGGGTCCTACTACAACGGTCTGGGTGCTGCTAACTCAACAGAATACCGGACGGCCGCAAGAGTGCTGCCTACCTTGTAGAGGAAGTAGAGGTTGCCTCCCAAGGGGGTGAGAAACTCCGTCGCGGTGTGGTAGCGGAAGATCGATGAGATCTTCCACTGGGCCAGCGGCGTCCCGTTGGGGACGTGCCACACGGAGATGTCTTCCGCGTCCACGTCGAAGTAGCCTGGGTTCTGCTCGCGCACGGCAACACCACGACAGGGGAGCACGATTTTGAAAAAGAGATCGCTGGGCAGTGACCTCCTAGAGGTGGACAATATTTCTTGTTGGGCGGGCCAAGCTGACGATGACGTGCGTGGCTGGTGGCGTATACATCATCAGTTTCACGTGTACGTCATCAGAACGGAATCAGTAGAAAATTAAAATAAAAAAAACTGTGCCACACACCCTCCCACAAGGCCGTGCGAGAAGGCGTGTGGCACAGATTGGCGCCAGCTATCGTAGAGCGTGGCGGTTGTGTCTCCACGGTTCTCTGCTGTGAGTAACAACGTCTTTAATAGCAGCGGCACTTGCCACTCTAAATGAAAATTAACGCTGAATCATTCATGCGTTACCGAGATTCAGCGGTGAATGGGGTGGGAACCCACCGCCCTGCAACTTGCAGACATCTCAGAGCGGGTAAACTCGACACCTATAATAAGCAGAGAAATGCTAAAAACGGGACCGATCGGACTAAATTGGCCGCGACCGTCGGTGACGCCACCGCCGGTGAACCGAGGCAGCGGACCTTGTAGTCGTCGTCAGTGGCGGACTCCACCCGCCCGAAGGTGTTGAGGTTAGCCCAGCTTCTGTCCCCGTCTACGAAGCCGACGGCGGGGTTGCTGCCCAGCTGGCTGGACCAGCGGTCGCCGATGGCGCACTTGGCCGCGATGTTGTTCTCATGGACGCTGGCGACCAGGGTCCAGCCCCCTCCGTTGGTGTTCATGTCGCAGAACGCCTGGTAGAACTGCCCGCTCTTCGTCTGCAGGCAGTAGACCCCGTCTGTGCGTGCGTGCGTGCGGCAGTGGAGCGGTGTAAGCGTGTCAGCGCACTGCACTAGGAACCCGGCCACCCGAGTTCGATTCCCGCTCACGGCAACCAACATCAGTCACTATTATCTCAACCGGTCCTGGGCCTCTTTTAGGTCGACTCAGTCTAAAATGAGTACCTGGTTCGGTGTGTAAACATCGCCGACGGGGAGACAAGGGCGGCCGGGCGTGGTGCTGGCCACCCACCCCCTCGCATGCCGTGCCGGTCTTCATAGGTGCTCGCTAGCAGCACTTGCCCCAATCTGTTAAGGCTACACGGGGGGTCTTTGTCTTGCGACAGTGTTAATGTCGTCTGCGGCTTTTGTTTGTTTCCAGTCACGTGGTGGTGACGTGGCCAAGCCGTGCCGCGTTACCCACTCTTTGGGAGAAGTTCGTGGTTCGATGCAGCGGCCGCCCTGGTTAATACTAAAACTCAACTATTTAATTTTACCAGGTAATGTCCAATGAGCTATATAACTCTTTTTCAGAAGCGACCTGGCTATGACAAATTATAGCCCAATGAGGTGGCTTATTATCGCGTGGAAATTTACAGCAGCCAAATACTCTAAACGAGTGACGTTGATTCTAAATGTGGAGGGGGAAAAACGGAGGACTTGGAAACAATCCACGTGACCACGGGAAGAGAGAGACATGCAAACTCCAAATCTACAGGTGTCAGAGTCTGGATCGAACAAGCGACCTCCTACTCTTAGATGATTTCGGTAAAGTCACGTAGATAGTAAAATAAATAATAGATCACGACGTGTCGATCGCAAAAACAAGCTATCGTCCTCAGGTGAGAGAGAGGAACATGCCTCTGTGACGAGGCATTAGATAGAGGGGAAGGGGGGGAGGCTGCAAATGGGCGAGAGGGTGGGGATAACATTCAAAGAGGGCTTGGGTGAAAGAGAGAAAAGACACGTGACACAGAGGCACGGTTTTCTTTCTCTCACCTGAGGACGAGTGCTTGTTGCTGCGATCGAAACGTCGTGAATTATTATTTATTTTCCTATCTACGTGACTTTAACGAAAGAACCTAACACTGTGAAATCGTGCAGTCACGAAAGCTGATAATCAAAAGCGACCTCCTGTATACCATGCGACGTCGTTAACATCTCGCCACCGTACTAAGGTGTGCATGAACCGTAAAGATACCACGCGATACGTACAGAGACACGTGGAGATACATCAAAGACAAGCAACAGCAGTGCGACTGTGGCCACGTAACCCAAACAGTGGGGAAAAAGAGAGTTAGCCCAATGCAGTTTAACACGTAGGCTTTCGCGACCAATATTATTCATAATCAACGTTTTTGGGTTTAGATCGCGTTATTTATAAATGTGTCGTAACCCTCCACCACCCGACACGGCCAATCAGTAAAAAAAAAAGTGTCACGTTGACTTTTTGTCTTTTGTCAACGTGACACTTTTTTACTGATTGGCCGTGTCGAGTGATGGAGGGTTACGACACATTTATAAATAACGCGATCTAAACCCAAAAACGTTGATTATGAAGCCCAATGCAGTCTGCGCTCTCCGTTCAACGGAGGAAGAGGAGCACATCTCTAGGAACTCTCTTCTCGTGAAGCCATCTCGTGGCTTCTATCGTCAGCAGCAGCAACAGCGGCAAACTTCGACGCATCGAGAAGAGTCGCGGCGACGAGCAGAGGTCGTCGCGCGGTGGCTGCGAGGTCCGTACCTTCCTTCGTTTTCGTCTTCAATTTAATCTCCTTGCAGGAGCGCGGCAGCTGCTTGGTTTCTTCCTCGTGCTTGCAGCCACATTTCGACTCGCTTTCCTTCGCGTCCGAGCACGAATCGGTGCAGCTACCTGCAGACACGGCAGAGCCGAATTTAGCCGTTCTGACAAACACGCGGTTATATATTTAGCACGCGCTGGGCTTTCGCGACCGATGTGATGGCTCATAATTGATTTGGTTTTGTTCTTTTAGGTCAGATCGCGTGAATAAAATGTGTGTCGTGAAACCCTCTTCCACCCGGCAGTCATAAGCTGCGGCAAGACTAAATCAGCCATGTACGTTTTGTTCATTAACATTACCACTTTATTAATTGGCTGTGTTAGTTTGAGGAGGGTTACACGACATAATAACATTTTATTTACGCGATCTGACCTAAAATAAAAAATATATATATATTTTAAATGTAAAGAAATAAATTCTGACATCACATTATTATAATTTGTGATTGATGATTGTGAGGTTAAGCCACGTAACCATCTGATAAATGTGTTATCATTAATACGCTTATTTGGGTGGTTGAACCTTTCATTGTGAGCGTAGCAGCCGTAGCTGCAGTGCATGTGTGTATGTACGTTGAACTTTTTTCTTACCGTACGTAGCCCACCGTGCTAATTGGAGGTGCAGGGAGAAGGACGACAAACTAAACACAACAAAAATCAGTTCTAAAGAAATGAGGTTTCAATCTCCATGATTTAAAAGTGCATAGCCCAAGTGGCCTAATGTCGGAAGGAAGAGCATTCCAGACGGCCGCGCGATGCCGGTAACACAAAAGCCGCCGCTTGCGAGAATGAGCGGAGTGCGCGTGATGAGGGGAGGGGGCATTTGAGAAACTTGCCACCGTCCTTTCAACTGCCGCGCATGGAGACGGCATCTAACTCGCATCCTACGGATCGCAAGTCTCGCGTGAGGCCACTGTGGCAGCATCCCCTGCTCCCATGAGAACCGGAGGGTCAAGACAAAAGGGTCTCTCGGCTCAAACAAGCAACGGGACAGCGCTCATCTCTATCAGTAGGCTCCAACCAATGTTGTCAATTCCACGTTCACCTTTTGGGAGGCCAAGATTGACCTGTAGGTTTTTTACGATTTCTACTGTGTAAGCTCTCCGGTTTGGGTTTTCTGGGTTGTACCACGTGTCGTTCGGCCACGGTGCCCGACGTTTCGCTCCCGCGTGCTGGGACCTTCCTGAACAATCCGAATTTAGGACCTGAAACGAAACGTCGGACGCCGTGCCTAAACGCGCAACGTGGCAACGACCCGGACAATAAAAAGCGCTTCGGAAGGCGCGATAACCAAAACGAGCGACTTGGCGGGGAAGTTACTCACACGCAGCCGCGACGCTGTTGCAGAAGAGCAGCAGCGGTAGCAGCAGCAACAGCAGCAGTCTCGAAGCTTCCATGGTCTCAAGTCGTCCCACGGCTCTGTGATGAGATGCACTCGCCCCTCTGCGCATCCACCGAGTGTCCCTCTCTCTTTAAATAAGCGTCAGATGCCACCCGCTAAGACCATCCCTGGGGGTGGGCGGGGGTGTCAGACGCGACGGGGACGTGCCATCGTCAGCGGGCGCCGTGCCAGCCGAGAGGCGCTCGCCCGCCCGCCCGCTCTCTAGCGGCGAAACAATCAACGTGTGTATGTTGGCGACCCCTCGAATTAACTTGTGGGGTGTTTTTTGTTGTTGTTGCAAGGCATTCGTCTGCACGTGGCGGGTTGTGGTGGAGTGGCGAGCGCGCTCGCACCGCGGACAAAACAAACTCGAGGTTGATTCCAGGCCACGGTCAACTTCGGCTGGAGCCCACCACCTCGCACTTTCCAATAATTTGCACTGACCAGGTGGAATAATCACCACGGTGGCTAGGAGATGTTAACTACCTCGACTGGTATGCAGGAGGTCGTGGGTCCGATCCCGACCCTGACGCCTGCTGCTGTATATATTTGGAGTTTGTGTCTCTCTCATCATCACAGTAGCTAGGAGATGTTAACTACCTCGCCTGGTATGCAGGAGGTCGTGGGTTCGATCCCGACCCTTGACGCCTACTGTATATTTGGAGTTTGCTTGTCTCTCTCATCATCACGGTGGCTAGGAGATGTTAACTACCTCGCCTGGTATGCAGGAGGTCGTGGGTTCAAAACCGACACTGACGGCTGCTGCTGTATATTTGTAGTTTGCGTGTCTTTCTCTCTCCCCGTGGTCACGTGGGTTTTTCTCCGGTTTTCCCTCCACAATTAGAAACACGCATTTAGAATATATGGCTGCTAGAAATGTCCACATGATAAGCCATTTAATTGCTTCTGAACAGCCTTCATGCTGGCTAAGAAGGCTGTCTCTGGTGTAGAACAATCAGTTTTAAAGACAATGCATCTATTATCAGAGCGTGTTTTTGTTTGCATGTTCACCACAAATACGTGTGGCTAATGCGGACTTGATTCCTTGCAAAAGGTTTCTATTTGATGTTTGAACATCTTAAACACTCCCTGTTTTATTGCCAGAAAGGGTAAAGCCTCTTCTTATTTTTTCAACTAAGCGTTGATTGCACGCAGCTGTGGCGATTTAAATATGATGCTTAAGGTTGCACTGTCGTCTGCAACGTGAAGTGGATCGGTTTGCGAGTGGAAGATAATGAGCTATTTTAAAACAGGGAGAAGATATTATTTTGGAGACGCAACGGCCTTGCGGTATCACCAGAGTTAATGTTTGAAAGTGTGAGACTTCAACGACCAGAGCATATTGACCGATCCTTTCGTAAGCTAGAAAAGTTGACTCTCAAACTTTTATTGAATTTAGTTGCAACCGAGTAGTTAACGCACCATTGCCTGACCCGGCATGCTTCTGAGAAATAAAATGCACGAGCAACGAGCATCAACATTTCAGCCCAATTGTCCATATCGTGAGGCATCTCTAACTACTGAGTAACAACTAACAAGCGAATACATTGTTTACGATCAATGAAATTTCGATTTAAAGCTTTCGTGACTGTATGGATTCATATTCTTGGTTCTTTCGCTAAAGTCACGTAGAAGGGAAATAATATTTTTTAATCCTTTATATTAAGTTCGCTTGCTTGCTTGCTTGCGTGCTTGCTTGCTTAGGACCGTGTAAATCTTTCGGTCGTTTTTTAACCCACTTCCCGTGATCCAATCGAGCTGACATTTTCCACACAGACTCGTTGTGCGTGACAATTAATTTTCGTGAAATTTTTTTTCCAAAATTTTACACTGTTTAGGGGAAAAAAATATTTAATTACCAATTGCTTAATGCTGGCAGACAATCATCTGACCCATAGGTGGCAGCCATCTCAAGCCAGAGGACGAGAGGACTCTAGCCGCCACGCATATAAAGGATTTATAGTGAAAAACTTTGTTTTTACGGGTTAATTTTTTTATTATTTTGTTATTTCCCTTCTACGTGACTTTACCGAAAGAACCAAGAATACGATTAATGAGTTTAGTAACGGTCCTTTTTATCGTTATCAGTAACCATGTGGATTCAAATTGTATCGTAGTTATTTTATATTGGCAAATTCCTACGTGATTATTCAGTCAATGACTCTCGTGGCACGATATAATTTCACGCATTTATAAATCATCTCACGTAACCGCCAGGGAGAAGAAACACTGCCCTGTGCTTTTGAAATGTCGCGACGGCAATGATCGTAGACTCTCCAAAAGGGGTTCCAAGTCTTCAAAAGCTCCAAAATACGAGTCGCGTGAACACGTCCCGGTGAGGATTGCCCTTTGACTGAATCTGCACCGATGATCACAAGAACCGACGGCTCCCAGGTGATGGCGAGAGGAGGATGGTGACGAGGATAAGCCCGATCGATAGTTTTTTGACGAGATTCCATCACTTGGCATTGTCGGCGCCACACCAAAAAAAGATAACACGCCCGATGACACGATTGCGGTATTTTTAAAACGGGCATCGCCGAAAGCAAACGACATGACGGGTTCAGCTGTACCAAAGACAAAGATCCCCCATGTAGCCTGAACAGACTGTTGGGGCAAGTGCTATTAGCACCTATGAAGGGCTACCGGCATGGAACACGAGTAAGTGGGTGGCCAGCACCACGCCCGGCCGCATTTGTCTCCCCAGAAGGCGATGCTCACACACCGCGCCAGCTGCTCATTCGAGGCCGAGTCGACCTAGAGGAGGCCCGTGACCGGTTCAGATAATTGGTGGCAGAACTCAGGGCCACGGGGTTCGCCAGCGCAGCGTAGCGCCGACCGCTCCACGCCGACCGCTAAAGCTATTCCGCCACAAACATTGACCAGGCTTGCTGGGTTCCAAAACAAGCGGCGCTTGCGACAGATGTTTGACCGAGCCTGCGGTAATCTCACGCAGGGAGGTCTACGGTGACTTTTGCTGGAGGTTAGAGTCACCTCGGGCCCGGCTGCAACCCGTCGGCCGAACGTTGCTCGAACGTTAGTCCACGTATTGTTGTTGTTGTTGATATTATCTTGAGTCTTGCTCAAACGACTCCGGGAGAAATGTCAATTTTGCGATGTGGAACGCGTCTCGTGGGATTCGGGTTTGTTGGTGCTTAAAAACAATGCACGCACACGCACATCGTCATTTCGTTTAACAGCACAGCAGTTCCATGTCGTTGATTTAAGCGAAACTGAATCATCCAACTTCTTGCAAATATAGATCTGGGGGAAAAAAAGCACGTGATCATCGGATTAGCCATGGTCAATCGACAGTGGGATGAAGTCTTTCCCAAGCCGTCAACCATCTCTCACAAGCCCGTGATATAGCAATGATAATAATGATCATAAGCAATCCATCTAGCACCTGCACACCATAATACAGGTTTTTTTTTGAGTTAGATCGCGTAAATGTGTCGTTAAACCCGCCACCACCCGACACAGCCAATTAGTAAGGTTTGTAATGTAAATAAAACATGTCAATTTGTTACTTGTACAGCACACCGGTGTGTTGGAGAGTAAACCCACAATATTTACAATACGAATTGTAAATTTTGGTGGTGGCGGGTTTAACTAAAAAAACCTCTATTATAGATATTGGTCACGAAAGCCTACGTGTTAAACTAAAGGTCCAGGTAGATTCGTCTTTTATCGTACGTTATCAAAAATAATTAGAGTAAAACAGCTTCGCTGATTTACAACCAACGGCTCGTTCTGCTTCGACGAAGAGGTCCGAGTGTTTTTAACTTGCCAGGAGCGTTTCTCCGTTCCCGTACTGCGAAAGGGCAAGTGGCGAGTTTAAAAGTGTACAACGTCTGAAACCACATGTAATATTTCCCGGCGGTATATGATTTAAATTGTTTTTGTTTGCTCTACGGATCTTCAAAGAATTCACCCACCGGTTGCGAGATTCTATCATGCAGGCATCGGCTTTCCAAGTGCCACAATGTGGTCTTAACCAATCAACTTCCTTTTGGCTTTCATTCTCCTTGATTGACAATGCCATTCACATGCATTGTGCCCTCCCCGTAATCTCATTCTTTCCCAATGGTTTCACAATAGTTCTCTGTGTATCCCATCTTGGGTTTTACATTTTCATTATTTTTTCCAAAGCTCCCATTTTATTCAACAATTTGCTTCTCATAAAAGCAGCCGTGTGTATAATTATCGAGAACTAAAAAAACACCCCATTAAGTCACGCGTACACCACGTAAACATTTACAAGGTTTTATTGAACGCTTTCCCGGTCCTCACTGCAAATTCACATTTGATTCCATTCATTCATTTAATGTGTTGATATATTCCAGGATAGGTGGACTTGTTAATTCAGGCAAATATACTCCACAGCTGCAAAACAAATACGGGGGTTTGCGCTGAAGTATCTAATGTGTGCTCACATCAGATTGCACGCACCCTGAGCATGGTGAGGGGCAGCTGATGTTAATATATATTTAATAATTGTACCTTCTGAAACAGTTGCTAAACGTCTTATCATACCAAGGACAGCGCTCGCGGTGGCCACAAAGAGCAACACGTCCTCGCGTGCGCAACGATCGACCAACTTCGGTCACCTTTCCTGACAAATCTTCCCAAACTTGAGTTGACAGAATGGCGGATAGGTGGCAGAGGTCGAGGGAAGTTGATGAGACGACAGCTCCCCCCTCCCACCCCTCCAATCACAGGTCAGCCCGGACGCCGAACCCTGGCCCCGTGGGCGGCTCCGTGAGGGACGTGAGGCCTCCTGCCGGCTCGCACGAGAAGCGCTCGTTCCTGAAGAGACACGCGCACACGCAACGTTCACACTCTGTGCTGGGCGAGGTTGTCGCGGTTGTTGCTGCTCTACCAGCTCTTTAGATGCTGCTGTGCACAAATAATGCTATTGCCGAACAGTATTTGGTTTTGGGGTCCACTGAGGCGAAATGGGTGGACCACACAAACACCCGCAGGGAAAATGATGGATAGTGTTGACCATAATAGAGGTTTTTGGGTTGGATCGTGTAAATTTCAATAAGCCTACATGTAAAACGGATAATGTTTCACCTGAAGACGACTGCTTGTGTTGCGATCGAAACGTCGTGCTATTGTTATTATTTTGATTATTTTTTCTATCTACGTGGCTTTACGGAAAGACCCAAAGAATATGAATAGGATAATGTTAAGTTGGTACATGTACAGCCTCATCATCAATC